TGGTCGCCAGCTACCTGTACGTCTACTGCGTGGCCCGGACGCACGTCAAGGCGATCCGCACGGTGGAGGCGTCGCTGGGAGTGCGCGGCAGCGGCTCGCCGGCCGGCGGCCGCTGCGGCGCGCTGCTGCTGCTGGTCGTGGCCGTGTTCGTGGTGTGCTGGGGCCCGCTGGCCGGCGGCGCCGTGCTGCGCGCCCGCTGGCTCGGCTGCGGCGGCCCGCCGCGCGACTGGCTCCTGCTGCTCGCCGCCTGCTCGGCCGCCGCCAACCCGTTCCTGTACAGCCTCAACAGCTCCGAACTGCAGCTCGGCCTGAGGAAGCTGTTCAGCGGACTGCCCGCCCGACTGGGGGTGGGCCGGCGGCGCGCGGCCGCCGCACAGACCACCTCCGTGGCGCTCAGGTCAGTACCGACCGGCAACCGGAGTCGATGCTGCGGGTACCGCCTTTTATAAGATGTCAACGTTTGCTCGCACAATCTATGAATACCATAAAAAATACGCAATGATACTGTAGTGACAACCCGTCAAATAGTAGAGCCAACGGGTCGGTCGGACTTGCCTAATTTCAATATCCACTTGGGAATGTCGAGTCAATCTTCTCGGCAGCACACGACTGGACGTGCAGTGACCGTTTCTCTTTCCCTCTCCACAGAGTGGGCTCGGGAGTGCGTCTGTGCGCGGTGGCGGCTAACCAGCCGTTCCTGGTCGCTCCCCTGCACGCGGCCACGGCGGCACTGACGGTGAGCCGGGAGGCGGTCAGCACCGGAGGCACCGTCACCGTCAACGCGCCGGCCACCGTCGTGTGAACGGGCTGTCGTCGGAGAGCTGCCAGACACCTCTGGCGCGACTGGAAACAGCGCAATATCCGCGGCTGAAAGTCCTGCACAGGCGTCTGTTCCGGCCTTCGACCGTCTTCTGGCGTCCTGCGGCTCCAGCAGACGTCTCGCCGATCGTTACACAATATCCACCTTATTTCCGCCCTCCAACAGGCTGCCTCTCCGGCGGTGTTTCGGCATCGGTTCTGTCAGACTTGCATGTCTCACTTCTGACACGTCTCAGATTTATCCCCGAGACAAGTCTGATGCTATCTGCTCCAGTCGCTGGATCGGTTTCTTCAATGCCTTGAATAGGCATTAGGCAATGCCGTGATCAAAGTTGATCTCAGGAAAGATCGTATCGTACATATGTCATATAAAACATGTACTGTACAGTTCAGTGATTAATGCCAGAAATTGCACGGATGTAGGTACACACTTCGCTGGAACGCCAACCTTACCAATGGATCTCGTATTTAAGTCGCGTGTGTTTGGGTCTATAATCAAGTATGGGGGGGGGGGTTCTGCTCAGGGCCATTGTTGAACGGGCAATTTTCAGTGCACTGCTGATGCGCCTGGATACGATATTCCGACAATCTGATCTCACAGATGTCCTGTCATTGATCTGTGGTGTTTTTCTACTTGATCTGTCGATCTTGTATGCGCGTGTGCTGTTGTCGAGAGGCGCGGCCAAACCGTCCAGAGTAGATAATCTGTACATTTCTAGCAATCTATCCAGACGAGTGGAAGCCAGGAACGGTCGGTTCTCCGGACCGCGCCCCTGACCTCCTGAGACCCCGAGCTCCAGTCCTCTCCGCCATTTGTCCCGCGAACCACGCCGAGCTAATCTGGACGCCCGGGAGTGTTAATGTGCAGGTATTTTTGACGGCCGGCCGCCGCCGTCCACCTATAGGAGCGGCTCTCTCAGGGGCTTTACGGTCGGACGGCCGCCGCCACAAGGGTGTCCGGCAGCGGCGGCACAGAACAGATTAGTCACCTGGTCAGGCGGGCCGGCCATCTCAGACAGTTCTCGTGAACTCATTGATTTATTGACCTCGTGACGGTTTCGGGCCGGGCCGGGGCAGGTTTCCTACCGCGCCGGATTATCGACAGCCGGGGCTTCTTCAGAAGTGGCCACCGCCACCGCAGGTGACCAGACGGGGGCGGAGGGGGGGGGGGCAGAGGAGAGCGGCGGAATCCGCCTGAAGCCGGGCGTCTCAGAACTGAGCGGCCCCCGCTGTCCGGAGTCGATGCAGCCCCCGGGCAGCAGGTCAACTTGCAAAAGTCATTTGGATCTCGGAGCTTGCCTGACTGTGTCCTAAAGGTGACAGTGAAATAGTTGAAATAGTTTTGATGAAGACTCAGCACCGTGATACCACCTTGTAACTGAAATAATGAGAGCTTATCTCGCTTGTCCTTGCGGCTCGCGTGGCTGTGAATGTATGTAAGAAAGGGACATACTCGTCATGTTCCGGTGGATGGTACAAAACAATTATTCTCGCTGGACTCTGTCACAAGCCGTGTAATACGTTTTCTTTGGGGAGCGAATTAGGCACATCCCTCCCCCTCCGTAACAAGGTTTTCCGACTCTCGTGCTTATTTCATTTTAACCCCATCATTTTTTTTTTGAACCAGGTCAGAAGAAATACATATTTCACCGTCTTTACATCACGGAACATAGCTTCAGGAAGCACCATAAGCATGTGCCTCTAGCCTGGTTGCTATTCTGTACCATCATTCATGAACAAAGAACTGTTCTATCTTCGGACTTCAATCAGTTGGAAGGCAGCAACGCCGTGTCAGAAGTCTGTGAAGTACGTAACACATCAATCTCGTGATGCTGGTGTGTCGCCAGTTCTTGTTCCCGCCTCACGGGCAGGCGCCAGGTGGAAGGTGTTCCCGATGTGTGTCAGGTATGTCTGCGCGAGTGTTGGTTCCCTATACCAGTCTCTGTGCCGGGTGGTAACAGAGTTACGTACGGACCCTGTGACCGCGCCGCCGCTAAGTGTGATACATTGTGTCCGTGGTCCGTCCAGGACAAATGCTCGGTGTCAATATACGCTCAAACCATCCCTCACTGTCTGTGTCGGTGTGTCGGGGAACAGAGGATAGGACCGGGACGGATTATAGGGCTTCAGTCTCCCCCACACGGTGCGTAGCGGCAGAGACAGACGGGAACTCGCACCGAACCCTGTATTGTCAAACATACGGCAATCTCGGTGGAAAAATGATATAACGCACAGTTACCCATATTCAACATATTCCAATAAAATCACACGATCCGATAAAACGACAACGGTAAACAAATAGACATTTTACGAAGCCACAAATTAACCCAACACACGCATGCAAAACAACGCAGATAGAATCCTATAGATAACAACCGCTGTGGGGTCGGCCCCAATCCGACCTCAAAGGCCGGTCATATCACCAAATCCCACTGAGGGCTCGCTAAAATAGAACTGAAACAAGCATTTATGGCGGCGACATTCCAATGGCGTCAGTCACTGAGAGAGCCATTATTGATGGCTCACCTAGAACATTCGGTATAAAGGTACTGTCGTTTTTTGTACTCAGTTATTGACTGTTGAACAAGCTCTGGCAGTGTAGTGGCGTCGCTGATTTCAGTGTAACTGTATGCACTCATATTAGTTAAGTACTTGTGGCAATCGGTACCGGCGGCAAATATAATGGGTAACACACAGACACACATTAAAAACAACGGCTACAGTCCTATAAAATGTTACACACCGCATAACTGACAAACTACAAACAGGGACGCATCCCTTATAGAGGACGTCGTAACAAAAACCCAGACGGCGGCAGCACTGCATACCATACAACAAACATGGCACGAATCGATCATCAATAATGGACCCCATCGCTACGTCTCAGCTCCCAGAAATTCACGAATTACGCCCAGACCTATCACAGCCGGCAAAGGGCTCACAGGACAACAGGTACACAAGGAGGATGTCGGTATAAAACTCCGCGCCGTTACAATCACAGTTGTAAGACAGGGCACACGGACCGTCAGTCCCCATCAGCTCACCGCCTATAGCGACAGTCGCAAAATTAAATCCGATGTAAACGCGATAGCCATTGTACGGGGACCCGCAGTTGCTACTGTACACGAACCCCAAGTCTAACCGTCTGTCCTGTCCAGTAACAACCGATAACATTGATATCGACTGCTGGTCCTTGTACAAGAGCAGCTGAGGTTTCCTGTGAGCACCCTCTGACAGCTTATCGTTGTTCCCTGTGAGGGTGCTGGGACAATTTACTCAGGGTCGCTGTACAGTAGCAACTGCGGGTCCCTGTACCTATACTTATCCACTGAATGCTAATGCCCCAAAACATTGACCTCCAGAAATGGATTGACCTCTATATGTTCTATCAAGCTTTTACAAATTTATCCTCCGCGTGACATGTGAGTGGAAAGACGCATCTTCATTACTCGGTAGGCCATTAATATCGGAGAGGTCTGAGGCGGGTATCGTATGACATGAACCGACGGCAGTTTCACCCGCCGACATTAGAGTTCGCCTCACGTTGTACCGTTGCGTAAAATTGTACAACACTGGCAGTGGTGTGCTAAAACAAGGCGGCATCTCAACGCATCGCTGCGTTCGATGAAGAATAATGACCATGGCACAGCACATAGCTATCATACCCTGGCGAACAAGAGAGCTGAACATGTCCGACATATAATAACTACCAGATGTCAGACCAGGTGAAAACCCGCGCTGCTATCCGATATGGGTCTTATTCCACCATCTGCCGTGGGCGCCGCAGAAATCCCCAATGTGTCTGTCGCCTGTCATTTACCACCAGACAGCCATCCGGACAGCCTGACACCGATCCAGACAGACGGACTGGCGGTTCTGCTGATCACGTCTGTCCCCTAGGCAGTGGACCTGGCAACCCCCGCATCCGCATCCATGTTACCACCGGGAGCCGGGGGTACAACAGCCGGAGACAATAGGCGGAGGTCAACCAGGAATTGGAATAGTGAGCGGAAAACCGGGGCATGGCAGACTCGAGGGCCGAAGTAGAAATTGGGAGCTAAAATCTGGGAGCCAAGAACCGGGAATGGGAGACCCGCTCCCTTCGGCACCAGTGGTTCTGCCGCCCGGCTCTCACACAATGAACAGCTCCTGGCCGGGCCGGTGGGTCTGTTACCCGGCACTCAGACGATGAAGAGCTCCTGGTTCGGCCGGTGGGGCGCCATGGCGGCCACGTAGCCCATCTGCCAGGGCGCGTACGGCCCGGTGACCAGACAGGGGACGGCCGCCGGCGGCGCCATGCTCCACGTCTGTGTGGTGGAGGTCCCCCCGGCCGTCTCGGCGGTCCCCCCGGCCGTCTCGGCGGCGGTACGGTCCGCCTCGGCCACCCTCCTCCCCTCCTCCCGCTGCCGGCGCCGCTCCTCCCGCTGCCGGCGGCGCTCCTCCAGCGCAATCCAGCCGTGCCGGCGCCGCTGCAGGCCCTTGTGCTGGTAAAACACCAGCGACAGCCGGCTGGGCCGGCGCCGGTCGGGCCGGCGCAGCGCCGTGGTGGCGTGCAGCTCGTCCACGGCGCACTCGAGCAGCAGAGAGCCGTGGGTGAGAGCCACGGCCACGCCGCCGGCCCGGCGGTCGGAGAAGGAGGCCGAGCAGTCCGACTGGTACCGGCGCACCCGGACACCGTCCTCCGTGCGCTCCCAGTCGGCCCCTGAACGGTCCCCGCCGGCCTCCGAACGGTCCCCGCCGGCCCCGGTCCCGGGTCGTGAGTGGGGGACGTCAGAAACCACAGTAGGATCCAGCGGCACACGGGGAGTCTCGGGGAGAGGAGGGTGACCGACGGGGGAGCTCAATATAAAGGGGAGGGAGTGGGATGTACCTGGGCTGAAGGTGTGGGGATTTGGAGAGTAGCGCGTATGGCCATTCGAAGCCATCGTGGGAGACTCGGGTGTACTAAGGTGAACATTGTGCTCAGCATGGGTATATGGGTTTATACCGTGGCCATTCGTCACGAAACCAGGACTAGAGGTGTCAAACGCTTGGGTAAAGGAGGCTGACATGCCAGGAAAACTGTACCCAGGACTGTAATCACTGGGTACCGGAGAGTGCATGTAATGGCTGGAAACATCGTTGGCAAGAGGTCCGATCGACGCTGTGTCGAAGCTATGCGGACCCGAGACGTAACCGTCACCGTTTTGGGTGTAAGAGTTGGACCGGCCTGAGGTATAATACCCCGCAGTATGTGCTTCAGTCATGTAACCGCCACAGTCGGACAGATGCCCGCTGTGGCAGCGGTGCGCTCCGTCCATCTCAGCCCGTCCGCCGTCTGTGCCGGAGCCCGGCGACCCACCGACTGCCTGTCCCGGCAGTACACTCTGCCACCGCTGCCGCGCCGGGCCGATTGCGGGAGCACCGGGCGCGTCCCGGCCATCACCCGGCGAGGTCTGAGCCGACCCGGCGGCCGGGCCGAGCGGCTGACGGGCGTCCGACGGACGGGGCAGAGCCGGGGTCCCCGGGTACAGCACGGGGTCGGACGGATAGGAGAGAGCTGCGGTCTCGGGGTATAACGGAGCAGAGCGGGACACGCCACCGGCAGAGGTCCAGCCGGCGGGGACGAGCGGCGAGGACCCGCTACTCCAGTGAGGAGCGGTGTGCTGCGGCTGGGGAGAGTGTAGTTCACCGCTGTACGTCTCGGGTGTCCGATGGCCAGACAGGGGGCTGACCCCCCTCCCCGCGGCCGGGGTCCAGTGTGCGGCCGTCAGCAGTCTCTGCGGCGTCCCGCCGGCCTCCCAGGCACTCCCCTGAGGGGACCAGCCGGGCGGGGAGCCTCCACCGGACTCCGCTCCCGGCTCGGACAGCGCGCCGGGTTCGCCGCCCAGCCAGCCGACCACGGCTCGGCCGCAGCTGCCCAGCGCCTCTTGCAGACCCGGCCAGTGGACGCGGCGGCCGGCGGCCGACACCCGGCCCCCCAGCGCGGACCCGGGAGCAGCCGCCGCCGAGCCCGGGCGGGAGGGGAGCGGCCGCTTGGCAGCCCTACGTACCGTGCACGTGGCCAGAGGCACCTCCCGACGGCGAATCTCGACCGGGTAACTGAAAAGGCGGATACGAATATTCAGAGGGGGAGCACCGAGTTCACGACGCGGGGGCAGAATCGAAGTTATCGCAATTAACGTGTTTGAGTTTAGAGGGCACGGACATTCCGCTTCTGTACATAGTTTCGGGCAACTCTAATCTAGAGAATATGACGAATAGTATGGACTTCCTCTGCAACATCGCAGTAGTTATTACAAACCATCAACTAATGAATCATCAAAACTTCGTTGTGCTTATATAATTCACATTAACACGTAGACCATTGATCAGGATGTAACAATAGTCCAGGATCTGTAACCCCAGCCGCGCCGGCTCGCCGTGCTCACCTGTGCAGCCGCTGGACGCCGTCCCTCTGCTCCTCTCCACTCTCCTCCAGCACGTACAGGGGCAGCACGTGCAGCTGCTCGTCAGGGGGCTCGGAGGGACTGACCACCTCTTCAGCGGGGTCCGCAGTCGGACGCGCGGGCTGGGAGTCCGGCGGGTCGGGGTACAGAGCAGGCTGATCGGTATCACCAGAAACGTTGAGTTGACCATCAGAAGGGCCCGGCTGAACGCCAGGGGACTGAAGACCGTTTGACAGACCAGGCGGACCGTTTGGTGGACTTCGATGACCGTTAGAGAAATTCAGCTGTCCGTTAGGTTCCAGCAGTCCGTTAGGAGTCAGCTCTCCGGTAGAGCTCAGCTGGGCGTCAGAAGACCACCCGTTCAGTCCGTCATCCCGTTCACCCACAGCGGGAGCCGTGTTCTGATGAGACTCCTCTCCGTCCGCAGCGTCGGTCCGGTCTAACTGAGCGCCCGACTGGACTGCCGTCGGCTGCCCCACTGAGGCGCCTGGACCGGCCTGGCCCGGCGGCGTCTCCACCTCACCCGCTCGCGGTTTGAGGAGCGTCAACACCTGCGGTCGACACACGGGGCACCTCTCTCAGAGCCGGACACGGACACATGGCGGGAGAGCACCCAGCTCCCACAATAAGAAACCCATACCCGTGTTACGTAACATGATGATACGAGCCGAGTTATGACAGGACGGCAGAGAAAAACCCGAGTTAATATGACACGCTGATTTCTGCCTAGTCAAATATGAAGCAATACAGCAACGCACATCAGGCAGGATGATAGAGCTGGGATATCCATCTGCTTCAGTAAGGCGGTGTATGACCATGAGTTTTGAGTGACGGTAAATCCCACCGGAGCGGGACACGCCGACAGCGTGTCCCGCTCCGGTACCAATACTGACCGCCCGGTGTAAATAAGTAAATATATGTTACGGGCCAAGTGCGAAGGCTAGTCCGTTTGCGAACGGACTAGTCCGTTCGCGAATGGACTAGGCCGTTTGCGAATGGCGGTCCGTTCGCAAACGGACTAGTTCGTTTGCGAATGGCCGGCCATTCGCGAATGGCCTAGGCCGTTTGCGAACGGACGGGTTTGTGGCGTTGCACTTAGCCGCCGGAAGCATGGATCCTCGGATTGGGGTACGATTCCGAATGAATGGGGGACCGCTGGTCGATGCAGGGGCGTCGCCGACGCGGGGGGGGGGGTCGGAGGGGTCCGGACCCCCCCACACACACATTCTTGAAAATATGCCGGTCCGACGCCCCCTCCCCCCCCCACACTTTTGGCCACGAAAATCGATCAAGAATAAAATATAATATTTTAAAAACGATTTTGGTGCATTCTCAAAATAAAATTGTCTAAATCCGAGGAGTTTCCAGTATTTGGTGGGGATTACTTTGACTGACCGTCCGACCAGATCCCCTAGTCGAAAATCCGTGGCGACGCCACTGCGTCTATATGTTTAGTTTGTTCTCCGGAGCAGATCTGCGAGCTGGCGCAACTCTGGGTTAAGGTCTCCACACACCTGGTCCATTCGGGATGCGACTTTCCGCTGAACCCTGCACAACGCGGAAATTATAGCAACGTGTTGCCGCTGGCCAGGCTTCGGCCACCGATCTGGATCTGGGGAGGTCAAATATACCCGTGACCTTCGAACAGCGGAGAGTCGCGTGGTGTGCGGAGACCATTAGTACCGTGCTCCGGGCTCCCCGCTGATGACCCGACCTGACCTTGGTCGAGTTTGTGGCGCTCGATTCATTCTGCTCTGGTGTGGTGTACCGGGACGGTGCGGCTTGTGTGTGGTGAGTGCGGTGCCGTGAGTGTTCGAAAAACTGTTGTGTTGCATTGCATTTAACAATACGCGCACTGCAGGGGGGGTTGCTTTCAACCCCCCTGTGGTTTTTCATAGATCACGAGAAAACGGCGGCGCGCAGCAAAGCCAAATTTTGTATACCTTTTCTCCCATATTCTGCGCACATTGTGTGAAAATGCTGACTCCAGATGACCTAAGGTCAGGTCACCAGGCCAGGTTAAGTGACGCCGGTTGAGTTACCAATACTTTGCACGCATCATTTCACACGGGACTTTGCACATGCCAAGTTGACTTGCCAAGTTGACGTCACTTTGCTGGATATTTCGCACTTGGCCTGACTTCGCACTTGGACTGGGAGCATAAACGCCCGTCCATTCGCAAACGGCCTAGGCCAACTGCAATAACGCACATGGACTAGTCCATTCGCAAACGGCCAAGTCCAAGTGCGTTATCGCACTTGGACTAGGCCATTCGCGAATGGACTAGCCTTCGCACTTGGCCCGCAACATATATACCAATACTGACCGCCCGGTGACCGTTCTAACCACCCTGGGTCACAACACTGACCGCGGTGCAGCCGTCGCGCGTGTTGTGGATGTCGCGATGGGCGTGCGCGCAGAAGTCCAGACAGGCCGTGACGCCGGACCAGGGCCGGCCCGGGGCCAGGCCGAGACGACACTCGAGCGCCGCCTGCTCCGAGCGTACCTGGGAAGAGCGGGAGAGGGGTCAGAGGGGCAGAGGGAAGGGCGCTGATTAGCAGGGTGTCGCAGTGGGGTGGGGAGCGCCCAAACTGGACGGAGCGTCCTCATGTCATCTCCATCACCGGTAACAGAGAATGGGACGTGTAATATGCCAGCGACGTTATTAGACGATGGACTATACATCTGTCACCAATATAAGTGTCAACTATATTGAGACGGGTTACACAGCACATTGGGTGGACGCGTTTCGTCTAAATGACTTTTTCGACACCCTCTCGGAAATTAAAACATCGTGTTTGTATTGTTTTAATTTCCGAGAGGGTGTCGAAAAAGTCATTTAGACGAAACGCGTCCACCCAATGTGTTGAGTTTGTATAATAATTCATTTTCGCGCAATAATTCATTTGTGTTCGGCGGTCGTAATTCTGTTCGCCGCGTGTGTGTCGCCGCCCGGCTACGGTCGCGCTGGCGTGCCGTGCGGCGCGGTATGTTTGCGGGCGCGGCGCTCGGGCGCGGTGATTGGCGGTCGCTCACATGTCACGTGACCCGCAGTGGCCTCCGGTCTGTCTCGGAGGAGCGGGCCACTCGTGTCTCAGTATTCGTCTGGACCGGGTCGGTCGCAATGTGCGTTAGCCTCCAGAGTGGCCTTGCCGGGCTCTCCGGGCCGTAGCACTTGTGGCCGCCGAGTGCAGGAAACGGACTTGCTGGTCCTTTCTTGAGAGGTTCACTCGGCCTAAATTGACACCTAACCTTTTTTGGCACCCAAATCCAGACGGAAGCATCGCATGATGCAGATAACAGACGTGTATCTCATTGACGCCGTCTATGCTGCATCATCAATGCTCCCTATTCCCAAGTCATATAAAACCGTGCATTTCGCCTGGGTGCACGTTTCACGGCGAAATTAGAGGGGCTGTCCGTAGGCCCCTCCGTGAGCACATGTGGGAAAACAATGAGTTGCATATGATTTGTGCCATATCACAATTGTACCCGATCGTTTGGTGATACGGTGACTGCCTCTCGAGATTGCATTGCCTGTTGGTGTCTAAGCTGGTGCACCACAATACAGCACTGAGGTCAAATCCATGTATGTTCTTTTAGTATACCGGCGCAACGAACGGACGGATTCTTAACATAGTCCTCCGGGCCGGATAGTCTTTTCGGTTTTAAAATTTGTACCTTGTTAACCGGACAGACATTTATATTCTTGATTGATACAGTCCACTCTTACCCCTCTTGTTGAAATCCGTTTAGTTCAACATGGATGATTTGTTGAGCACCAGATCAAGGCTTCGTTCAAAGGCAACCATACAATGTAACGACCTCAGGTCATGCCGGGAGGGGGATCAAAAGGCACTCGATGTGGATCAGCTGGCTCTCAAGCTCCATCACTTGGAGAAGCTGCAGCACGAGCTTCAGCAGGTCCAGGACCAGCTCGACAAGCTTGGTCAGCCTGACGATTCCAGTCACAGCCAAAACATGGAGGATGAGATGTTTCTCGGCTACAGGCTACTCGTTCGGCTCGAGAAAGCTGAACATGCCGCTCGGGGTGTCGACTCCCAAAATTTGATTGCGAATGCAGACCTCAAGACATCTGTCACAGTGAGGATTCCCACTTATCATGGCGACGTGATGAGATGGTCCGAGTTTTGGGAACTCTTCACAATTTCTGTTCACGACAACCCAGTCTATGCTGACGTGCAAAGGTTTGTCGTATTGAAGTCGCATTTGGCCGGTGCGGCGCTGCGCACAATCCAAGGGATTCCGGTGTCAGGTGCAGGCTACGCTCAGGCTGTAGCAGTCCTCAAAGAGCGCTTCGATCGCAGCGAGCTGCGGCGAGAGCTTTTGATGCGCGAGCTCTTGAACATGCCATCAGTCCGCCATGGTGACCTTCGGGCCATGCGATCCTTGATTGATCACCTTTGTGCTCACACACGCGCTCTGAACACCCTCGGTGTGCCCACCGAGAGCTTCTCGAGCCTCCTCCTACCAGTGGTGAAAGGCAAGATTCCGGAAGACTGGCGACTGCTGTGGGCCAGGAAGGAGAATGGTGACTTTGGTGCCTTTATTGAATTTCTCAATCGAGAGATACGGATTCGTGAGTCAGCCAAAGTGTCGGAATCGGCCGTTTCCGCCGACGTGTCACCCTCGACGCCGTCTGTCATGAGAAGCATGACCACGCGTCGTGAGCCCCTGAATAAACGGACACAGTCACAGACACCTCAAAGGCCGAGGATGACGGCCTGTGGCGCGTGTCGACAGGGGCATCACCAGCTTAAAGAAAGCGTATGCGAAGCAGAGCCCTGTGTTGAATGCGACCGGTATCATCACATCCTGCTTCCCGATCCGGACCTCTTGTCAGGAGGTCCCTCTGTGGTTCCGGCGGCAGAGCCGTCACCCGATGCTGCCAGCATCTCACCAGTACAGAACTTTCCCCGAGAGACGGGGTTGAGTGTTGAGGTCGATGATCAGCCCGATCATCCAGCTCGCCATCGTCAACAAAAGGAGATGACGTTTGACGTGGGCACTATTGGAATTATTGACAAGGATGAGACCGTCGTCTCAAACCCAGGGCTCCTGTCCGAGCCCACTGGGAGCGAAGTGGATGAACCCTGTGAGGTGGGCCAGGTGAAGAGCTCCGAAGAGCATCCTGTGCCCATCAGGTCTCCTACACTGCCTGGCCGACTGCCAGATGGTCTCAGCAGAGAGAAAGCTGCCATGTCCAACACGCACGGCGATGGCGTGCCGATGAATGCAGCTGTTGATCTCTCTGATGCTGAGTATGAACAATCACCAATGGAACTTTCCGAGTCTGACGCTGTGGGCTCGTGCACGGTGGGGAGCCGTTCTGCTGCTCAAGCGCCTGATCTGCCGGATTTCTCTGCCGAGACGAGGCAGAATCTTGAGCAGGACCAGGAGCTGTTGCATAGGCCGATTGCCTTTGAAGCTTTCTGGTCCCCCCACCAAAGGGCACTCCAATGCTTGCAGTCAGACGTGCATGAGAAAGTCTTTGAAGTAGTCAACCCAAATGACCAAAGGAGCAGAGCATGCTCGTGGTTCTTGTCGGAAACACGTCCGAGGTCTTGCCGGATTCCGTTTGGGCAGACCGGACGTCCCCCAGAACAAATGCGTCGGGGGGGGGGGAGGTTGGAGTCGTGGACTCCTCCTCCAAGCTGTGCACTGTGCAGTGTGCACTCAGTCTGGACAGTTGATTTATTTTTTTAAGGAATTGAATTTAACCTTTGTTGATATAATTTGCCAACGCCCTTCAACTTCGCCAGATGCAAGGTTCTCATGAGCGTGATCGCCCATGACGTGGAGAGTTTGTCGGCTTCCACGCGAACCTTTGCTTCTGAGGGTTCTCATTGAGCGTGTCCGCTCGTGACGTGGCAAGTCTGTTGGCTTCCACGCGAACCATTGGTCCTCCTGCACTGTTCAAAGCTATGTTTCACGCATGTCTCTTTCCCACAGCATGGACGTGTCGTGTGCTGTTGACCTGACGTGGTTCGTGGCAGGAGGCGCGGCTGCCGGTGACTTCGTCGGCGACTCCATCGCTCACGACGGGGAACGCCGTCCTGAGCCAGCCGAGCTAGGGGTGTTGCCCCCTGGAGCTGTCGCCGACGTACATGCGTCCAAGAGATCGTGGCGGACGCTGATGCGTCCCATCTGGCTGCCCACGGGTGCAGCCGCTGAGCAGTGCCAGTGACGCCCCACTACCGTCGTAGCGGTGCGTAAGCGCAAGGGGCGTGCCATCCGGTGCGTCTGGCGGGCGATAGATGCGGACGCACTACATGGACACTTTCGCAAGTGATGCGCGACCGCGACAGACGTAATCCGGTGCGCGAGAAGTGTTTTTAAGTAGTTTGTCAGTGATCTGCCCATGTATTTTAAAATGTGCTCCCGAGACGCACATTTTGGTGGGGAGTATGTTGAGTTTGTATAATAATTCATTTTCGCGCAATAATTCATTTGTGTTCGGCGGTCGTAATTCTGTTCGCCGCGTGTGTGTCGCCGCCCGGCTACGGTCGCGCTGGCGTGCCGTGCGGCGCGGTATGTTTGCGGGCGCGGCGCTCGGGCGCGGTGATTGGCGGTCGCTCACATGTCACGTGACCCGCAGTGGCCTCCGGTCTGTCTCGGAGGAGCGGGCCACTCGTGTCTCAGTATTCGTCTGGACCGGGTCGGTCGCAATGTGCGTTAGCCTCCAGAGTGGCCTTGCCGGGCTCTCCGGGCCGTAGCACTTGTGGCCGCCGAGTGCAGGAAACGGACTTGCTGGTCCTTTCTTGAGAGGTTCACTCGGCCTAAATTGACACCTAACCTTTTTTGGCACCCAAATCCAGACGGAAGCATCGCATGATGCAGATAACAGACGTGTATCTCATTGACGCCGTCTATGCTGCATCATCAATGCTCCCTATTCCCAAGTCATATAAAACCGTGCATTTCGCCTGGGTGCACGTTTCACGGCGAAATTAGAGGGGCTGTCCGTAGGCCCCTCCGTGAGCACATGTGGGAAAACAATGAGTTGCATATGATTTGTGCCATATCACAATTGTACCCGATCGTTTGGTGATACGGTGACTGCCTCTCGAGATTGCATTGCCTGTTGGTGTCTAAGCTGGTGCACCACAATACAGCACTGAGGTCAAATCCATGTATGTTCTTTTAGTATACCGGCGCAACGAACGGACGGATTCTTAACACAATGTGCTGTGTAACCCGTCTCAATATATATATTTGTCTATTACTACTCAATAAGTGTCAACATACCAATTATTTCCGTACGAAAGAGGAGCACAACCGGGCATGAATGAACGGCCCTTTACTTAATGACGGATGCTTACTGGTTATGACGACTAGTTATTTGGAACCGGGAGACCAGAGTGGCAAACGGAAAGCCTGTCCAGCCCGTTCAAATGTGCGCCGAGCAATGATAGATGTCAGAAATGAAGCCGACTATTCAGCACGGTTATGTAACTGATAACGCATAGGAAGATTACCGGCTGTCACCATAGCGCTACTCTGCCAGACTTCATCGGACATTCACCGGGGAAATAACCACATTTAACCCGCGCCCCACTGGGGGGGCTATTTATAGCCCCCCTCCCGTTTTTCTGCAATAGCTTCCAAACCGCTTGACGGATCGACGCCAAACTTTCAGTACCTTCGGCTGCATCAATTTGACACCTTGTCTCAAAATTTGAACTTCGTAGCTACCATAGGTCGGCCGGAAATGACGTCAGAGTGACGTCATGTTCGTCCGATTTCGACGCAAAACATTGAACCACGGCAATCGCTCCCAAGAGCTCAGTTTTTAAAGGTAGTGTGCCAGCTTTCTTGGACCGTATGGAGTTAATGGCCCAGATAAGGAGAACCGGATTTTTAGAACTTATCCATACCTTCAAAACTCATGGAAACGTCTTAAATTCTTCAAATTTTGAGTACCCCAGTGCGAAATTCGCCCCGACGGGTTGTCGGTCGTACCCCAACCACATTTCACACCACTATGAACAATAAATGCACACACTGAAATCGCTATTACCGATATGCTCATCCAATCAAGTTTCGATAAACCCGTTCATCATCATCTCCTGCGGTTTCGAACACGCCTGTTAGGTGGCTTCTGATGCTCGTCGAGGTCGGAATTTCCAAATACGCGTGGTGCGTCGGGCCGCGCTCTGCCTCTGACTTCGGCCAAGAAAAATGCGTCAGCTGATCATTGTCATTTCTGCCACTTGCGTGTGGTGAAATGGGGTCATAACTTATAAGACGGCTTTTTCATATCAATTATTTTACATCAAATCATATTTCAAACCATAAATAATGTTCGACAGCCAAATAAAAGAAACAATACCAATACGGGCTTACAGTTTAAGGCTCGACATTGTGTTGTCTACGATTAGACAGCTGATAACTCATTCCCGTACGTCGTATGGTCGTAACACTATAATGACCTTTGCTTATTGTCACAAGTGCGCCGCATTCGCGATTGTTGCCCGACGCCTGTTTGCAGGTGAGCCCACTACAGTTGTTATACATATCTAAAAACCGAAAAACTTTTAGGCGAAAAAGGCACTATTCCAGGCCCATTTTTGATTTTTTTTGCGATATCAGGTAAAAACAGAAGCTTCTTATCCTAGGAAAAATAAAATGGGAAATCTTTCAAAGGTGGCACACTACCTTTAAGCATGGGTGTCGATTTGTATACCTTTGGGGGTGCACCCCCAATGCTCAAATGAGCACCCCCAATGGTTTTCCGGGCACCCCCAATGATTTTGTCCCTCAATAACTCCCACTAACTCTGCTTGAGGAAAATAATTGTTCTGCAGTCTTTCACTAATAAAAATAAAACAATTACGCAATTTACAAGGCATGAAATAAAGATGTAAAGCCAAGAAAAGTTAGTTTTAAGAAGAAGAGCGAAAAAAGACGTTAAGTTGTAAAGACACTGGTGTGGGTCCGTCGTACACGGGTGTCGGACCTTTAGAGCTGCTGGCGCGTACCCTTTACAAGCCAGCAGGGGGCTCCAGAGACCGGCGACGGGCCCTCAGAGGCCGGCTAAGGGCCATCAGAGGCCGGTGGTACCTTCAGAAACCCTGTGGGGTCGTCTTTAGAGACCGGAACGGACTTAGACGCCGATGGAGCCCTCAGTCGCCGGTGTGGGGCCTTCAAATGTCACCGGTGGCAGGGTGGCAGTCACATGCGCACTTGTGGGGCCTTCAGAAGCTACGATGTTGGGCCCTCAGAGCCGCCGATATAGGGCCTTAAGAGGCACTAGTGTGGGACCCTCAGATATGGCAATGTGGGGCCCTCGGACTGGAGGCGCCGGTGTGGGGGCTTCACAGTTGCCGGTGACGGCCCTCACAGGCGCCGTTGTGGTGGCTCTCAAAGACACTGGTTTAGGGCCATCACAGGCGCACGTGGGGCCCTCAGAACTGCTGTTACGGAACGGACCCTTCATAGGCCGACAAGAAGATATCAAGAGGTCACCGGTGCCTTCAGAAGCCTTGTGTGGTTCTCAGAGACTGGCATGGTGCGCTCAGACGCCGCTGGGATCCTCCGAGTCACCTGTGAGGGGCCGTCAGGTCGCTGGTAACTGACAAGGGCCCTGAGAACCGCCCATGTAGGGTTTTTAAAGGCATTGGTGTAGGGCCTCAGAGTTAGGGGTGTGGGGCCCTCAGAGACGCCGGTGTGGCGCTCAGGGGTGCCGGTGAGGGCCCTCACAGTCGCCGTGATAGGGGCCCTCAGAGAAATGGGTGTGGGGCCATTACAGGCGGGTGTGCAGCTCTTAGAGCTGGCCCCCTATAGGCCGGTTAAGACCCCCAGAGGCCGGCAAGTGGCCCTCAGAGGCTGGCTTGGGCCCTTATGGAGATCTTAATGTTGGTACTTGTGGGCCCATGAGGTGTTCTTACGAGCCCTGTGGGGCCCTTCTGAGTCCAAATATAGCCAACCTGGACCCTCAGCGGCCAATTGGCGCCGCAGTGCCCCTCAGGCCCGAATAACCCGATGGGCCCCTGAACCTGATGGGAGGGGGGGGGGCATGTGCCTCACGGGCCCACCTGGCTACGCCACTGAGGAAAATCGTAAACCCATAAATATCGAAATGCGATCACCTGTCTGCTGTCATTTTTTTTAGCGATTATTGTGATCGTCTGATTAACGCCAGAGCCTCGTAGCTATACCTACCGTTGCCTCACGCGCAATGTCCGCCCCTGTGGACCGCAGGGGCTGCTGCACCGGTGCTAACCGCGGTCATCGGTTTCTGTCACCTTATTACAGAGGTGCTGGGTCTGCTGCCGAGCTGCCGGCAAATGTACGACTTTTTTCGGAAAGATGTTTATGTAATGAGGTAGCCAAGTACTAGGGCGAGCAGAATGATTTTGAAGAACGTTCAACCTTTGGGAAATATTAGTGGAAATCCCGGGATTATCAGTACCTTATGGGAAACTACCATGATACCCAACCATGCCTTGTACGGTTGTGCCCCATGGCAAAGCTGCAATCTTTCACCCGGTGCAGGGGTTGAGCACCCCCAACCATTTTGAGAAATCGACACCCCTGCCTTTAAGCTAGATCCAATTTCTTTGCATGAAAGGACTCAGAATTGACCGCGCTATCAAACTGCTATCTCGGATTTTCAAAATTTTGAAAATTTCGAAAATTTTAAATTTTATATGATAATATTCAAAATTTATATTTTTATATTTTTTCAAAAAGTTTTTGACTTTTCGAAAAAACCGGAATATATGTGACAGAACGCATGAATATGACTAACTCTAGCAAGTTTTAGCTAAATATCTTCAAAAATGGCCAAGTTATACGCATTATTGCAAAAAAATCACAATTATTAATTTTTCTAATCAATTTTTTAGTACGTATTTGACATCGTACACCAATATAAATGGCACCATCGTGTTCCTGAGCTCAAACTGCATCCAATAATCACCTTTTTTGTTGAAAAATTTTAACTTCAAAATTTGACCTTTTTTGACCTGAAAGTGACCTGACCTAAGCTAAATTCGACTCAAAATGACCTCAAATGACACAGACGACATGAAATTCCAAATCTATGGCCTAAATGGACCATAAAACATGTGTCACGTGACCGACGCATGATATAATATTTCCGTGACCTGTGATGACCTGACCCTGACCTGAAAATCAAAGTACAAGTTTGGTACCCTCAAGGTATCTAGAGCATCTGTTCATGAGTGTGGAAACCAAAAATGAGCCTGATCTGACTTGTAAGACGGCGGCCAGAGCCCAAAATGTGAATAAGCCAAAGTGCTAATAATTTTTACTTTGACCTGACCTGTGACGTCATCGGTGACCTCGAGGTCAATGAAATTAGGTTTCGCTCGACAGTTTTTCCGGGGCTATCAGACGCCGTTTGAATTTTGACGATCGGCCCAGTAGTTTCGGAGTTAGGAGGGGGGGGGCTATGAATAGCCCCCCCCCCCCCCAGTAGGGCGTGTTATACACAGACCCCAGTGGGGCGCGGGTTAATACAAATTTCACAGATGAAAACACCAGACCAGTTCTATCAAGACTTTTTAAAAAGTTCGAAATCAAAATCAATTTACATGCGATGTTTGGCTGTCAACAATTCCACTGAAGCTCTCAGCGTGCCCTCTCTTCATCTGCCTGTATAAAGCCAACGGTAATTCCCTATCTGGATACACAGGACGCCAACGAAAACGGCTTACGTCGAAGGCAGAGTATTCAAAGCAGCTAGAATTCCGGACACGCGAGATTCGTTCTACCTTAACGTCAAAGTAAAAAAGAAAAATGTAGCTCAAAGCAGAGAAAAGTTTGTTTTTATTTCATCTAAGAGATTCCAAAATGCACCAGCTTTTCAATCACCCTCTAAAATTTCTGATAAATATTCCACTCACTTCTCTTCCTTTCCAATGACGTAATGACTAATGCCGCGTCTGTCCGTCCCACCTTCCAGGAACCTTCCCGCTAGGCTCTAACACCGGTGACACCCCGACATCGCTTCAAAGCGCGCAGCTGATCCGTCTTTAGTGCTTATATGGACTATGTTTATCTCGGATCTATCGTTCCGAGATATCGACCTGGACCAGCAGGGAGTTCCAGCTACTCGGGGACTCAGTTAGCGCCACAGGGCTCCACAGGTTCTCACCTGTCCTCGTGGTTCTCACCTGCTTCTTATCAACTGCTCGTGGTTCTCACCTGGTTCTGGTAGGCGACAGGAGCCACTCGCCGGTACAGCGGCGCCATTTCGGTGGCCAGCTCCTGCAGCTCCTGCTCCAGCGGCGCCTCCTGCCGACAGTCCCCCGTCTCCGTGAGTTCAGGGTAACACGGCTCCTGCCCCCCTCCCGCGGCTCCTGCTGACAGCCCCCCGCCCTGTGAGCTGGGGGTGCATTGCCGCGAACGGCGGCAGCCTCTCATACCGGCCTCTAATCCAGTCGTCGTTCCAGCGAACCGTACTGCCGGGTGCCGCTCAAGGGCCGGCCGAAATACTCACCCACCTGCGGCCCAGGAAGGAGCTCCAATTCCCCGGCCATAACCGAGCACCTGTGGCCCAGGGTATGAGCACCAGCTCCCCGACAATACCCCTCCAGACAATAGTCTCGATTATACTTAGGTACAGATATACTTAGGTCAGAGGGGCACTGAACATACGTAAAAACTATTGTGAAAAACATGAGCGTGCCACAAACTAGTAGGTATATCTAAGTAAGAAACAGAAGTAAGAACTGTAAACAGATAATGAGGTGTTGCTCTACTGCTTTAGAAATGACAAACTACTCAGGTGCTATGAAACAGTTTCTGATAAAGCTGCGTAAAAAAGGCCGTTTTGATAGAAGGTAATTCATGGACTCACCGCAGCACTTCGAGTCCTTTCAATTTCTAATTACGGTTGCAGAAGTTCTGAGCACTCGCCGCGCCGTATTGCTGACCCTGACCTAGCTAGGAGCAGCGCCCCTGACCATGCATCATTACCGACCAATGGGGTGAAAACGACCACAACTTTGGCCGCTCTACGAGCCTGTCAGCGGCCAAATATAGTGCCCGACCTCGCCGTCCAAACAAAAGGCGAGCTCTTCCATCGCGCAGTTAGCGCCGAGCTGCGTTCTACAAATTGGACGACAGCCAGACATGGCTTCGTCTCGGGCGGCGGGCACCTGGGCTAAATGGGCAATTCTGCTTATGTCTCCATGGAAACCCAGCTCTAATACCTGGCAGCGGCGTGTAGCGGCGTACCGCGAAACTGGGCTCAGGTAGTGGCCCATTGTCACTGAATTCACAATAGATAGCAGTTTCATCAGCCACGCGTCCATCAACCCGCAGGGTGGAGAGGACACCAGTGGTAGAAAAACGACAGGCTCGGTGCTGTCCCCGGGTCACCGATAGCCCTGCCCGGCGGAGCAGCCGTGGGCAGGGATAATACGTGCACGCCGGATCGTTTTCATCCCATACAGGCGCCAGTTATAGGAGAGCGGACCTCTTTTCACGGAGATCAAAGCACGCTCTGCCTATCCTCGTGTCAGTATAATGACGCGCATTGATCAGGGGTGCAGATGTCACGACTGCACTGCGCCTCTGTCGGCCGCGGGGCGGTGCACGGGCCTCCCCCACACGCGCTCATTAGCGTGCACCTCTCAGGGAGGCCGGCAGAGGCGGCAACAAGTCGCCGCGGCCGACCCGACTAACGAGGGCGCAATGAGTGCGCGGAGCAGCGGGGAGCGCCCGCGGGCCGGCCGTAAGGGCCGCGTGATCCCTCTCCGCCTGAGAGAGACGCGCTGCTTCAACAAACGGTCCAAGGAACTGCTGCCATTTTCTGCCGGCTTCGAGGAATATACATACCAAGATGTATATAGGTGTTCTTCACAAACAGAAATAAGCTAGGCGTTATCAAAATATCCTCAGGCGATGCTCAATAAGTAAATAACTGGACAAAACAAAAGTACAGTATTCAAAGATTGCAAACAATCGAATATCGATTATGGAAATGACAAGAAGACAGTTATACTAATACGTTATAAACTTCGTTTTTTTCATTTCATTTATTTACAGTGCTCCCACTATTGGTCATCACAGCTCAGACATGACAAAAATACCCACGTTTATCGACAAAACACATAGAAATAGACACAGCCAGCCAGACAAACCATTTAACAAAAGTAGGTAGCCACCGACCAGAGGAGCTATATCCAGGCCCATTCCTGGAGTCCGTGCATCACAGCGGCTCATGTGATGGCCAATATTACCAGAGTCATGTCTATATCGAGCTCCGTAATATTCTATGCAGGCAGATCTGTTAGACGTTCCCGGCCGGAGGGAAGGCCCAATACTGCAGAGGATTGTCAGCCAGGCGGAGGATAAGACCTCGGCCAAGATGTGGGTGCACTACATTATGCACATACCAGCTTCTCTGCCGTTTTTACCCTTTACTTTTGCATTAGTCCGCTTCTTCAAGAAAGCTTTCAGAGCGTAGGTACCTAGTTACCCGGGGGCAAATCTCGCATTAATAAGTTATTTGTGGGCAAAACCAATCATTTTATCATGATTTAGTTAGTACCTATCAAAAAACTGGGTAATGAAAAAAACGTCACCCTTTCCGATAAGCAAGCTCTAAACATTAACATCGATTGGCGCGAGTAGCTTCTAGGTTTTCAAAACAGCCTTTCTGGTTATATTGGCTTCTGCAGTTGCCAACACGGACTTCTGAGTTCTGATGCAGATATGCTTCTTCAGTTGCCAGCGCCGACTTGCCTCATATTCGCGAAACAGTTCGAGCCCCATCGATCCTCCCGGACCGATCAGCAATGAACTGCCGGGCAGTCTGCCACGCACTGGATCCAGGAACGGCGGGTCCCTCCGCAGGTACTCCATTCTGTGTCCTCGGCAGGGAATCCCGCCGAGTCAAACCGACGCCGGGCCGGAGTTCAGCGGGGGACAGAACGCAGACCCGGCCCGCACCGGCCGACACAGGCCGGCACAGGCGCGGCTCAGCTCACCACAGCGGCCTGGCTCATCACAGCCGCCCCTCACACCACAGGCTCACCACAGCGGCCCGGCTGACAGCGGCTCATCACAGCCGCCCCTCACACCATAGGCGCTTACCACAGCCGTCTGGCTGACAGCGGCTCATCACAGCCGCCCCGACACCCCACAGGCGCTCACCACAGCGGCCCGGCTGACAGCGGCTCATCACAGCCGTACCGACACACCACAGACACACCATAGCGGCCCGGCTGACAGCGGCTCATCACAGCCGCCCCCCACACCACAGGCACACCACAGGCACACCACAGCGGCCCGGCTGACAGCGGCTCATCACAGCCGCCCCCCACACCACAGGCACACCACAGGCACACCACAGCGGCCCGGCTGACAGCGGCTCATCACAGCCGCCCCTCACACCACAGGGGCCCGGCTAACAGCGGCTCATCGCAGCCGCCCCTCACACCACAGGCGCTTACCACAGCGGCCTGGCTCATCACACAGCCGCCCCTCACACCACAGGCTCACCACAGCTGCCCGGCTGACAGCGGCTCATCGCAGCCGCCCCTCACACCACAGGCTCACCACATCGGCCCGGCTGACAGCGGCTCATCACAGCCGCCCCTTGCACCACAGGCTCACTACAGCGGCCCGGCTGACAGCGGTTCATCACACAGCCGCCCCGACACTGTAACCGGCTCATCACCGGCCGCTATTTCTGTCTCTGTTGTATTCCAGGTATTTCTGTATCTGCGCTGTCCTAAAAAGACACCGCCGGCCGCCGTGTGTCGGAGAACTAACGAGACCAGCCCCGGAAGCCGCCCACAGCCGACATATACACCACATATCACAGCACCGCAGGCCAGTTACCGGGGCAGAGCGACGAGCTGATCAGAGCCGGCAAAGGTGGGCCGCTCTATGGGAGAGCTGTGCTTTCTTTGATAACGGTGACAACGAGCAGCCATGACCGTATACAGTACACCTGACATCCGGGTAACGGCCCCGGTTTCCATTCAGTTTCGGGGTGTTCGAGCAATCCACTCTCTTCTAGCTCTGCTCCTGCAATTCGCATTTATGCGTTAAATGATGAGCAGCTACTGAAGGTTGGTCATAAATCGCAATACAAGAGGCCTTCCATGCTTTTTAGAAGGTCAAAATTGTAGGTCCAGTAACCCTTAACTAATCAACCCGTCCCGCGATCTCGTTTTCCGACAAGCACTGTTGAAAAAAACGAATTTCTGTAGTTAGTTATATAAAACAGCACAATAGTCACAGCTGTGTAGCACTGCCCTGCTGCCCAATTAAATAGCCGAGACCAGCCGGCCGTTCCATTTTCAGCGGATACAGAGCGCTCTCAGCCGAAATGACACCGCGATCGGATCCTTTCACGATAATAACAGCTCGTACAGGATTAATACGCCGGCCTTGCCTCTTGTAATCACCTTTCGGCAGCGGGCCAAAGCGACGGCTGATATCGACACTATTGAGGAAAGCCCAGCCGGGCGAGAGCGAACCGGCGCTGTACGAGAGCGTCGGCCCGGCGGCGAAACGGCGCTCCTCTGAAGCCGTAAAATGAGGATGAAATGACCCAGCCTTATGTAACTACCCCAGCGATGGAAAATCCACGGAACAGGACTTCACCAGGTGACAACAGAACTTTGCCTTTCGTTAATCTTCGGGGTAACTCGTTGCAAGAGATTTGCAATGTTATCCGGAATTTCAGTTCCTTCCAGGTTGGTTCATTGGAACTCAATCGATGGACGGATGAGTGCGTTTCATCCCCGTCTATCGTAACATGGAAAACTCCAACAAAATTGTCACACAAATGAGAAAAAGGATATGCCAATCAATTCCAACAGCTCATTTGAAAACCAATGACTAGTTTACACAAACAGTGAGCTTTCCTTGAACATGTATGTGGATAAACTAAACCCAATAAAAGATTAAATTATCCTAACACAGTGTCTCAGTGGCCACAAGTTCAGGTACCCTGACCAAAGTCCCGCCCAGCGTCCCGACTGACCTGATCGGGGTGGTTGAGTCGAAACTTCCTGGCCTGGTGACTGCGCGCGAACTTGCAGGCGTTGAAGTACATGCTGTACGAGCAGCCGAAGGAGAAGGAGGCGCCCTCGGAGCGGGAGTCTAGGCCCTGGCACATGCAGGTCCGCGGCCGGTTGGCGCCGCACCTGGCGGGGAGGGGGAGAGTCACACCAGCTCCACGGAGGTCCTCTATCGGGGGAGGGGGTGGGTGGGTACACCAGTGCTGCACCCGTTCCCCGTCCGGTGGGGGGGGGGAGGGGACCACCCCCACCAGCTCCGCAGCAGTCCCCGCCGGGGACCGGAGTTTGGCGGCGGCTCAGAGCCGCTAAATGGGCCGCCGCGCTGACCGCTTACACCGGCTTATTATTTGCGGTCATGTGATCGTCATCAAAGCAAACAGGCGTCATCAAAGCAAGCGTACTACGCAACGGTGATTGTTCTGTGACGGCTGGGTATTTAGATGGCGTATTTTTAGTGATGGTTGGTCCACAGTGAATTAACGAGGAAAGCCCAGAAGTCATAATGCGGGTCGGTGGCCCTGAACAATAGATACAGCCATTTACGCTATAAATATACAGCGAAAAACGGCATCATTGCTGACTAAACAGAAGTCATGACGTCAGCATACCTTTGGCAGCTCGTCCATTAAGCTATCCATAGCGTTACACAAATACACCCACTGCTCAGCCCCATTACGCTCAGTTCGACCCATCGCTCCATGGCTCTACGTCCGGTATAGGAAGACGAGGTCCGGCTCCGTCACTGTCGGGTTTTCCATTCAAATCGACCTGGGACTCCCAGCCAAGGGACTCGTGCTGACGCTCTGAGCGGCCAGTACCGGGTGAAAACACTCCACTGGACTACTGTCACCTCAGCCGTCGAGACGGCGCGGGCCGCAGGCCACTCAGCCAGATAGGCGGAGGTAGCGGCGACTTTGTAACGCAACCCAACGCGCTTTAGCCGGCGACTTGCACGGAAAAAAGGTAATATGTAATGCAATATGCCACCAAATTACGACGAGTTCGTTACAGCTAGCCCTTCGTTTACGGATGTGAGCTCAAATTCTGATCACTAGCTGACCGCATTTAAAGCGGGCGTGGCCTATGTAATCTGAAACTGCGAGTGGGCGTTGTCACGAAACCCCTTCGATGAGCAGGCGTGGTCAGTGCAGCTCGCCTCTTTGTGTGGGCGTGCTTTTAATAACAGACTCAGCAGTGGGTTTTGCTCAGGTAGCCCACCCCCTCAGCGAGCATCTCCAGACGTGGGCGTGGTTCCACCTACCATGCAATTGCAGGTGGGCGTGCTCTCGCCTCTCTCCTGGTGGGCGTGGTCACTCTACCCACCCTCTCCTGGCGGGCGCGGCCTCCCGTACCCATCCTCTCCTGGCGGGCGCGGCCTCCCGTACCCACCCTCTCCTGGTTGGCGTGGCCTCCCGTACCCACCCTCTCCTGGCTAGCGTGGCCTCCCGTACCCACCCTCTCCTGGTTGGCGTGCCTCCCGTACCCACCCTCTCCTGGTTGGCGTGGCCTCCCGTACCCACCCTCTCCTGGTGGGCGTGGCCGACCGGTTGAGCCGCTCCACCAGCGAGCTGTAGAGGGTGTCGGCTCGGCGCGGCGCCAGCGCGTCCCACACCACCAGCATCAGCACGAGGAAGGTGAAGCGGCACCGGTGGCCAGGCCGCCGCTTGGCCACCGCCAACAGCTGTTCGGAATCGTCCCGCCGCCGGAGCACCTGAACCAGAGAGAGGAGTGAGTGAGAGGGGGCGCGGAGGGTGAGAAAGGCGGGTGAGAGCGGCGAGCTGTTGGCGAGAAGGATACAAAGCACAGTGGCGAGTGAGTGGGGGGTTGGGCTGTGAGAGGCGGAGTGATAAACTTTGAGCGGAGGGATGTGCGTGTTCTGAGAAGGGAACGAGTAAACACGGAGGCGGGCTGACTAGGATGAAAAAGGGGAGGTCCTGAACGCTTGGTGAATAGGCTTACACAATACACATGCTGAGTGGCGCATTGACGACACAGTACAATCTACCATGCACCGCGAATTATTGATCCGACACCTTCCGAGACAGTTGATTATGCAAGGTGCTCCGAGAAGCTGGTCAAGGAATGTGTAACTATCGACGATCACTAGATTCCACACTTCCTTGTATGACAACAGACCGCTTTGATTGGAACTTTGGTGACATATCTCGTTTGATGCATGCATGCGCCTCTATCAGAAGCTGAACACCTGAACCGGCATGGTAACGCCGTAGAGCATCTTTAAAACAAACTGATATACCAAGTGCTCAGATATCAGTGAAATGCATAGCGACAAGCGACTTTTTTGTGCATCTCCTCGCGCAATAGGAATCGCAACACAACACGAAATCAGCACACCATTCGGATACAGATACTTATTCCAAGCAGTTTCCTACGACGCTTGACTTTCTGCTCAGGCTGTTCAGATGCTGTTGGCGCTGGGGCAGCAAAACACTACGAGACTCGCACAACACTGACATCCAATTACAGAGGGGAAATCCAGGGAGAAAGCAGACTGGTCTGTAAACGTAAATAGACTCCAATACAAACATTCCGCGAATTCCTACTAATACTTCTTTTCGTCGCACTATCTTTCGGCGAGGGCGAACTTTCTGGACTGTAGCGTGCAAAAAGGCCTCGTGCTCTGAGCTCTGCTGCCTTCTTCGGTTCCATCTAATATTAGAAACGCCGCACATTATGTAAGCATCTGCGAGGCCCTGCGGCGCCCGATGGGACAGGTATCGGGTGTCTTCGGGCAGCACCACGGATTTCCGACGGTGCAAACGAGGGGGCCAGCCACGTGACAGGAGCTCCATAATCCCATAACGAGGGGATCGGCCACGTGACAGGAGGGCCATCCTCCATAGGTCCAGGCGAGGGATCCGGCTACTATAGGTGACAGGGCCTCCACAGGTCCACGCGAGGCTTCCGCGCGATGTGACTGCCACAATGGCGCACATTGACAAGCCAGCGCGCCGTTTCTATTCCGACACTGGGGAGGTGGTAGAGTCCCTTTGTCAGCTCAGGAGGAGGAAACCGCCTCAGCAGCTAACACCTAAACAGCCCGCTGGGCAGACACCCGTTCGACGGCACTCCTCAAAATAGTCCAGTTCCTGATCACTTTCGAACAGGTACAGCGGCAGCTCCGGCCGGTCAGTGCGATTAACCGCGAGCTACGAACAGTACCATCACCTTACTGAGAGCATTGATACCGGGTTAATGTTAGACAAGAGTACCGTGCTATTCCGTGGCCGTGACGTAAAACGAGTACTAAAATCGACACCTCCCACCAGTCGGTGCCAGCGAAGCATTCACACACCACGATGGCATGGAATTTGGAGTATGCCCAATGATACGTGAGAAAGCGCAATTTATTTTTGTTGCGGTGTTCAACAGCTCGACAATGCTTCTCAAAATAGTAAAGTTCCTGCTCACTTTCGAATGGCGATATCTGGTACTTACCACCAGGATTCTGTAAAGGAGCTGTCATTTGCTAAATTTGGCCATTTCCCGGAGAATAGTCTGAATGTGGCTCGGCTGTCTGTGCTGAGAGCTACCGAGCTGCCCATAGGAACGGTAGTGATTGCCCAGTATGCTGCCTGCTGCAATACGGGCCAAAAACGGACGATAATACACTAGTCGATAATGAAAACCATATATTATCGCTACCGAATATGCTATGGGGTCTAACTACCAAAGCCGTGCACAAATAACTTTCTACATAGTGCGCTCCAGCGCTATTCTGCAGTGGGGACGATGACTCCCCGACAAAATACCATGCAACAGGCCCCCTACCGTCTTTATTTCTATGCCCATACCGCTAAGTACCGCGAGGGTCGCAGCGGCACCATATTCGGGAAACTGACCGGAGGGAAGGGTGTCGCATCGATAAATGATATAGTGAGCAGAGGGCGACACTACAGGCGTGTGCCGTCTCTGTGGGCCTTAGTAGTCGGTTTTATTCCGAAACCGGCATATTTAGCTACATGGCGCAGAACATACCGAATTCAGAAGCTCACTAATTAACCCGCGCCCTGCTGGGGGTCCTGGATTTCCACGCCCTGCTGGGGGGGGGTGTTTGAACACCCCCCCTTGTAACTCGGCTCCTGGGCCACGTAGCGATACGCGGAAGGCGGCGTTCGAAAGAGCGTAAAAAATAATGACGAATTCACTTCGGTCAATTTTTTGGTCAGGTCAAAGGTCAGGTCACCAGAGGTCATTGAAGGCAAAATTTCGCCGATTTCCAGGTCGAATGTCGAAAATTTCCAAGAAGCCAACGCATAACTCGGGAACCAATAGAGCTACAGCGCCGCGGAAAAGCGCATTCGATAGCCCTATTAACGCCCTTTCTGAGTAATTCTCTCAGATTTGACCTAACGTCAACGGTTTTGCCTGCAGGGGGCAAAAACTGCAAAAATAGCCGATTTTTTCGGAAACAGTTTTTCTGCAATAACTTTTGACCCAAGCCTTGTACGAGCTTACTTTTACCGGCATCGTGTTCCTCTCGTCAAGACGCATCGAATGAACTATAACTTGACCTTGAAAGGTCAACTTGAAAATTTGACCTCAGGTCAAGGTCATGACCTGACCGGAAAGGGTCATGTTGCATATCAGTCGATCCGTATCGTCGAGCTGAACACATCTAAGGCGTTTTCATCGCTCTAGCATGCCTCTATCAAAAGTTATTTGCGAAAAACTGTTAGATACCATTCGTGACCTAAGATGACCTCAGGGCATAAACAAGGGTCAAGGACACCATTTTTAAGTTCAGTGTGTCTAAACCACTTGTAATTCGGTGTTTGGGAGTGTTTATAATGTCTTTCATCCAAAAGAGGCGCATTTCAATTTTCTCCCATTGACTTATAATGGGGAGGTCGCAAAATTGACCTGACCTTAGGTCATCGATATCAAAATTCTGAGATATACATTTTGTACATGCTATTGCTCTTAGCAATCGCTGAAAGTTTCAAAGCGATCGGTCACTCGGTGTAGCTATGACAGACATTGAAAGTTTTTATGAGGTGAGGTCACTTCAAGTGACCTGGTGACCTGACCTTGAATGACCTTGGTCTGAAATTTTCACAACATGTGTAGAATTGATGCATGATAAGGTGTACCAAAAACGGCGGCGCTCCGCGCCGCCGTTTTTGAGATATTCGCGAAAAACCACAAGGGGGGGTGTTCAAACACCCCCCCCCCCAGCAGGGCGCGGGTTAAACTCGGCGGGCTAGCAACAATTTTCCCTCTTTGAGTCGTCTCGATTCGCCGAAGGTAAATAATTCACAATGGAGATGAAATGGCACACCAGGTCCGGGATAAGTTCGAACGGAGCCGAGCGGACGACTTTATGAGAGAGATGTTCCGACGCAACTTATTTGATGCCATCTACCAACCGAGGATTATTACCGCATCATCGGCCATCAAAGAAACGGAACTGCGTGACCTATAGGTCGAATTAGGCTGCTAACATAATTGAATTACACGTGTCTAATTGAAACCTGTCCGATGCAGAACTGAACATCTCAACTGCACGGCCCAGCACGCCGTGGCGCAGTAGTAGCGTCTCTGAGAGGTCAACATGGTGACTTCTACCGCCTCGGGAATAGCCAAGGTCTACCGAGGTCGGTGTAAACGGGACGTATAAGAGCATCCCGCCAGACCACCCTATCAAAATGTGAGCCGATCTGGTATGAGTGTCAGGAACAAAAGTTTTCGTGGCGGCATATTTTGGTCTTCATCCATTTTACAAATGACCCGGGTTTACCGTTTAACGACAAACGTGCTGTTTCGGGAATGCCTGCTTTAATCTCACGTTGTCTGCCCACGCTCGAGACAATGGCTCTCGGCCACTGAGGTATCGTTTCCTGTGGCCGAACTCCGGTACATAGAGCTCCGGGTCGGTCCCGCGCAATCCGTTCGGACCCTGACAAACTACACCCGTTAGCCTTTGCGTGGGCGCTGCAGGGTAACCGGTCCGAGCTTCCGCTTCCACTGAATCACGTATCGCGAGAAGAACAATCCATAGGCTAAACTAACAGAGCAAAGTTTTCCATGAAATTCAAACAAAACTCTGTCATTATTTCATTGAATGATTGATTAGACGGTTTATCAGTTATAAAAAAGCAAAAAGGGCAGCTTCAGAAACTATTTTAAAATTATCAAAAAAATTATAAGTGAAGCTCAGCGAGACTGTCACGCCGGTTCGAACAAAGCTCTGCCGTTGGAGCCCGAGCAACAGAGCGAGAAAGGGACAGGGAAGAAGGAGAGGACGCCTAGCGTGCCTCGCACCCATCTGTGCGCCTCTGACCTCCTTCTGCATGACTGCGGGTACCGGGCAGCAGCTCTGAGCGCCGGCCGGACCGGTCGCCGCGACCCAAAACTGTCTCAGCGAGTCGGCCACCGCGCCATCCGTCAGCGCCGCGGTGACATTGGTGGCGCAGCCGCGGCTCACGGCCGCGCCGCGCCGCACACAAATGTGGCGCACAGTGGACGTTGCCACAGGGAAGGAGCGGCCGGGGAGGCGGATCCCAGCGGTAAATTCCGCCGGACGGATGTGCAGTCCATTCGGGAAGCGGACACGACCTAGAGAGGCTGCGGCAGGCGAGAGAACACATTCACTGACCACGAGGTGGCGATGAACAAGAAACAGCACAGAGGTAGCATATCAATCACAGTAACGTCATGGAGCTACAACTGCTGCGAACACCACGATGACCTCATAACGATATTGGTAAGAAGCGTCGCCAACATTCATTTCCCACACATTTATCTTTCAGGAAAACTCTTAGCAGCCAAGGAAATAATTATATGCGTTTAAAGGTAAATCGAGCTAAAAAACGGAGCTCTTTTATCACTTTGGGCCGACGGTAAGTGTGGTTTATCTACGCACCTATATTTCCTGGCGCCACATACGCAGCAAGGTTGTCTGTGATCGATCTGGGTTCACTGGCTCGGGTCGCCTCAGTTGCTCGCGGGTCAAGAACGCGCCGTGATTGGGTTATCCTCCTGGGACCGGCGGCCCTGCGTGGCGGTAAGAGCGGGTTGAAGGCTGGACGGCCCGGCGGGGGCGGAGCGGTGACTCGGGCGGGATAGGACGGGTGAAGGCCCATCCCTGGGAGCCCGGGAGCGAGGAAAAAGACGGACCCGGGGGAGGGGGAGCGTCGTGTGGCGCTGAGGCGGTGGTGTGTGTGTGTGTGGGGGGGGGGGGCACCGCTGGAGAGGTCACTTACCCCCGGGTTAGCGCCAGGGTCACTGTCCGGGTCACTGACCGGCGGGGTCGTCCTTGGCCGTCCGAGGGCGACACGAAACGGGCGGACACGGCTCAGGAACGAGGAACTGAAGGAAGCCACAGCGTCGGTCAGACGGGCGGGGCTGGTGTATTTAATGGTGCACGATTAGTTGAGAAATGGGAAGAATAAATAATGAGAGTTGGGTGGATGTGGCTGGAATTTCATAGGTACTCAACTTAATGAGGGAGCAGGCAAAAACAAGACACGCTCACCCACTGTAGCTAAAATCCTCCAAACACTTTGAAGTGTAGTCCGCATTTACACAAAAAATAGCTACCACAATACGATCAGTCCCCGGTCGGTGACGCACGAGGAGTGCCACGGCCGACACACGGGTAACAAGTAGACCCCCACCGCGGCCCGATCGCTGCCACCCTCCGTCATCTGAGCGTCACTCACCCATTTGGCGATGGGACAGCCCTGTTCGGTCTTCCCCTCGTGGCCCGTGTATCTGACCGTCTCCAGGCGCACCTGCGCAGCACATAGAACACGAGAGTCACCGATAGCAGAGTATGTACCACCATAAGGAGTAGTCATGACACCACACCGAGCTGATAAGATGAAACGTATGTTGAAAACACTCTTCTCGCTACCAGGTGTATAATTCAACAGACAAAGTCGCGACTAAAAACGGGCTACTTTGGTGCCAAAAACTGTAACGAACTATCCTCAAAGCATGACTCGATCGGCGTCCTATTGAGCCGGAGTTATGAATGCACACGCCGGACGCCGTTAGACAACGTCGTACCTGTTCCGTGGTAAAGTCAGTCTGACCGGCTACCCTACCTGTTCCATGGTCATTCAGTATGTTGCCTACCTGTTCCGTGGTGAAGTCAGTCTGTTCGGCCAGCTGACGTCTCAGCTCCTCTAGGGTGGCGGCCGAGCCAAGACGGCAGTACACCGGGCCCACGTCCACCTCTGAGGGTAGAGAGGGGCGTACACAGATCTGAACAGTGTGAGGGTACCGCCGAGCCGACAGTACACTGGGCCCACGTCCACCTCTGAGGAACAGCGTGATCAGGTGACGGAACAACACAAGTGCGGCTGATGCTAACGATGAGCGAACGGCAGGTATCGGGAACAGGAGACAGATCAGCTCAGTCCTTCATAAATACATATATGTAGGTACCCGAAAGGGGGCAATATTGCATAAGTCTTAGCAGATGCTTGGTCATTGCATCTTTTTTTTCACATAAATCATCATAAACTTAACGATTCCGTACCGTTTTTGACGTCGCAGTCGCAGCTGACGATCTCCCTATGTGGCGGCGGACAGACTGACGGACCGTCGCCGTCTCCGTCCGGACCGCCTGCCGCCGGCTCTCCCGTCAGCTCTGCCCGCTCAGGGTCCGTCCCGGCCTCTGCCCGCCCACTGTCCGCCCCGGCCTCAGTCTTCAGCGGCGGGTCACAGCCCGGGGGCTTCTCCTTCAGGGCGGACCCGATCTTCAGCTCCCCACCCTCCACCTTCAGCAGCTGGGGCTTACCCGAGGGGCTGACGCGGCCCACTGGCCCACCGAGACGCAAGGCTGACTCCGTGGGGTCGGTGGTCGCTCTCCCATGGCCTCGCTGTTCGATACCAGAGGTTGTGTCGGGGACAGACGGGCGTCCGGACAGACTCCGACCCCGGCTCTTGTCGAGGTCGGCTCCGGAGCCGCCGGCGCCGTCAGGGCCGAGAGGTGTTGGTTCGCCCCGGCCGTCAGATCCCCCAGTTGGCAGTCCGCCGACGGGACCCCTCCACAGCCAGTCCAGAGCAGTTCCGTTGTCACTGGCCGACACCGGTCCAGGCGCCGCTGTGCGACTGGAGGACGGATGAGTTTGAGAGTGACCATTGGATGTATGGCCAGCTTGTGCATTGATTCTGGCAGTGAAGAGCTTGGAGGTAGTGTTAGCTATCGCAGGGACCCCTTGGCCATGTGATGCAATAGACGTAGAGCTCGGCAATCTCCAGGCAGCGTTACCGGAGCCGGACTGAGAGCTTGGTGCACGTCCCCAAATGCCGTACAGCCCACGGTCGAAACTGGGGCCAGACGGTTGGTTCAACGGCACCAGATTGGCCACACTCGAGATAGCTGCTTCCTGCAGACTGCTGTACACCACGCCGCCGTTTCTGATGGACGGAACACGTTTTGTACTTCCTGGTGAGCTCTGAACGGACATTTGATGGCTCACACTTCTTGTACTGTTGACGACATATTGATGATGTGTCAAACTACCCAATGTTTTGCAACCAGTTTCAGCCAGGTGACTAGGCATATCTCCAAATGTCGCAGTGCCCTGTGTCGCTGCTCGCGACAATGGGCCATTCTGAAGACCACTATAATAGACACCCGTCCATTGGCCCGGCGAGCCGTTTGAATAAGCACCAGCTGAGGACGCACATATTCCACTCAGAGAGGGGCGAGGTGGCTGAGAGTGACCCGGCTCTCCCCCGGTACGGGGCTCGTAAGACGCAGACTCCGCTGGGTGGCCCGTTCCTCGCTGAGCTGGGAAGAGCGGAGGGTTATCCGCCGCACTTCTCCCCGGCCCGGCAGCAGAGGACAGCGGCCGGTCGGTCCCCGAGTACCACCGCGTTCTGTGGGTGTCCGCGGGTACCGTCCAGGCGGGGTACTCGGCCGACCAGCGGCGGTCACTGTCGGTACCCGGGGCGGCGGGGCGGACTGGGGCGGTGGGAGCACACGGCGGGGTCACACCGTCTGGTGGTGCTGAGAGCGGACTGTGCTGAGGGCCCGGCGGCCGCCACTGCTGCCACTGCTGCTGCTGCTGCTGCTGCTGCTGCTGATAGTAATGCTGCTGCTGCTGTGGTCTATAGTAGGAGTGTTCCTGCAGTTCCCAGCGGTACCCCGACGAGGTCCTATCGCCATGGCTCGGCAGATACAGCTGCGGACCCGGCTGTGGACCCGGCAGCGATCTCCACTGGGATCCCGCCGGCTGCTGTCTGGGACCGTATCCCTGACCGGGCGCGGGCGGCGCTCCGACCCCGGTCCGCTGCCGGTCCGCCCAGCTCCCTGTGCCGGCTGGCGGTGGCTGCAGCGACTGTCTCCAGCCGGTAGATACGCTCTGAGGCTGAGCGGCGGACGGGGGAGCGGCGCTCAGGGGCGCGGACCACGCCGGGACGGACGGGGGAGGGCGGCTCCCCTCCGACAGCTGACACCCCGCAGACACAAACATCTGAAACCAGAACACAATCCGCGCCTGTTAGTCCAAAACTCAAATTTCAAAACGAGAACAACGAGTCTCGACGGTTCGACACGCAACCCATCAAAATTCAAATAACTGACTAATGACCAGGTCAAATATCATTCACCATGTTAGAGCTCAGATCACAAGATGATAAGGTCGATGCGATGCCAAGTCACCAACATCTGTGAAAGTTAGCGTACGCCTTCACAATCTTCCACAAACTTAACACCAGGCGGTAACAGCGACACACTCCAAGACATCACGTGTCCACAATCCTACAAAAAAAAAATCTTAAGAAATGCAGCGAGTACAACTAAGCAATAATGCACTTGCCAACCAAGGCAATAACCAAACTTCTGCCACGATTCCCACTTAACTAGCGTGCAGTGTATTACCGGGAAAATCCGCGTGAAACACGGTAAGTAAACAAACCCTTTGGTATCCCTGTTAAAAAGTTGTGCGATGCAGGCATTGGACAACTTCTGCCCTGTGTCGAGTCTCCATGTCGTCCGCGCAGTGGATGAGGGCTGCTGTTCGCCGAATTCTACTTAAGCGTAAATCTTTTGACGTTTTTGAGTAAAATGATTGGCTCGCCGCACAAGAGAGATGGAGAGGGGAGAAAGATAGAGAGATAGATAGAGAGAGAGTAAGAGCGAGAGCGAGAGCGAGAGCGAGAGCGAGAGCGAGAGCGAGAGCGAGAGAGAGAGAGAGAGAGAGAGAGAGAGAGAGAGAGAGAGAGAGAGAGGGAGAGAGAGAGAGAGAGAGAGAGAGAGAGAGAGAGAGAGAGAGAGAGAGAGAGAGAGAGAGATCTTGCACAACTTTCGTCGGTGACCGATTCCTCTAACCACACCACGAGCGTCCCTTATTACCATTCCGGCCGTTTCCACACTGGAGACACTGTACGGACCCTTTGACCCGTCTCGACCTCGGCCGTCAGCCCGCGGAGGTCAACTTCTGCCATCAGCACGGCAGGCCGCCGGCCAATGTCTCATATCGGGCCGGGCCGCGGTGTAATGTCGCGAGTTCGCGACATTGCCGCCCGGGGCACGGCCGGAGGAGGTCTTTCCATAAGGATCACGGAACTGCACGTGTGGTCTGTATTCGCAATGGCACATTGATCCGCTCGATGCGGTTGAAGTATCCAAACAGCTCTTGGTAGCTCGCGTTTTGGCGTAGCACTGGCCTTGCCTCAGCAAATTTACAACCATGAACAGCTATCGAGGCACGATCTACGACTGCCGATCCGAAAAAAAAGGAACAAAGTAGAGCAATTTATCGGGGACGAATGACGATGCATCAGCCCCATAGTGCATATCAATTATCAACTAAGCCCTGCCCAACTCAGCCATTTAATAGCTCAGCCGACAGCCTTCTTTTTGACTTTACTTGTCTGTCTGCTAGTCACACCGTCGACAAAACCACACTGGGACGAACATACGCACGAGTGAAATACCACGTAACCGCATCTGCGACCGTTTTCCCGCCGTCCGTTTCCACTCACCTTTGCCTGCGTCTCTCAGTCGGATGGCGGGGGTGCGCCGCGGGTCCGGCGGGCGGCAGACCCGTGTCCCGTCACTGCAGGCAGAGACGGGGGTTACCGTACCGCCGGCCTCACCGAACGGGGGGCGACCGACGACCGTCACTGTGGGTCAGTAACCCCACCGCACTCGGCAGTCTCTGACAGTCTCCACACCGACAGACTGACCTATCCGGCGGCCAGTGACGGAAAACACAGGTGATTACGGTACGAGGCAGTCGGTCTGTCACTGAGATAGGATACACGGGGGAGATCCAGGTCGGCTATGACCCAGCGGCTTCACAGCGTGCCGGTCATAAACAGACTGATATGACCCAAACCCGGCGCCCTAGCACCACCCGGCAGACTGAGGGAGGAGCACCCTTCACACAGGAGCCACGGCGGCGGAGGAAGGCGGGGAAGGGGAGGGGCTGGCGGGAGGGTGAGGGGAGGGACAGGGGCGGGCCCGCACGGTAGCAGAACAGCAGCCGGCCGGCAGCAGCGGCGGTCAGCTGGCCGTCACGGGGCGTCATGTCACGTGACCACCGGACCGTGAGCGAGGGCCCGCCGGCACAGAGCACCCGCCCAGGGTGAAACGGTGGCGAGACGAGAACAGACATGGGCGGAAAAAGGAGGAAGCAGAGGTAATGGACGGGAAAAAATCGCCAAAACACGGGCAGGATAATGATCTGAATGGGCGGCGTTCAAAGGTTGTCCTAGTGAGTTTATGAAGGACGATCAAATATCGGGTAATAAGACCCAAACGTCACCAACCATCTGTGAAATATTGTATTGACAACGGTATACCGCTACAGCAGCGTCTTTTTGGATACCACAACAAGAGTAAACAGAAGCTTTTCGGACTTAGAGCAAGCAACAAAGCACCTTAGGTTCACAACAAAGCTGAATACAATATAGCAAAGAAACCAACACAAAAGGACGAAGGGCAGCTGGAACATATTGGTTCGACTAAGCTCGGTGAATCGGCGGTCATATCAGGCACTGAGATAGGCGCAGGAAAACCAGACATTACGCTAATGCGTCGGTTACGCTGGATAAGATGAGCTGTAATCCTAAGTTTAACAGCGTTGATGTGATATTTCTTATCAAGATACAATGATAAGCTGAAGTACGACTCTAACGCGTTGCTGTCAAAAATAATCACAATATGACCGACCACCATATTGGTGGTCGTCAAGCATATAAGGTGACAATCAGCAATCGGCCCGTGGTGAAACTGATATAATCCATACAGACTGGTCATGTTTTCCTGTACGCTTCATGTAAGCAGCACGCGATGCAGCCGTTACAATGGCGCCAGCTGTCGTAAAAATGTCACGGAATGCTGCTGAGGCACCTAGCGGTTGAGGCCGCTTCAAGTGACTAGCAGAGAATGTTCGTATTCCGGCGGATGACATGCTTCCTAGCAGACACCCACAATCAGATCTCTGGGACATTTCGTATGTATGGCCTTCAAACATTTCATTTTTATAATACCGTAAGGTTGTTATTCTTATACGGTAAGGCCCACGCTGAGCAGAGCTTGATAAACAGACTCCGTCATGCGGCCTTCGTAATTGAAATAATTAGGATGTGTACTTCAGTGTACCAATCAAAGCCAACCAACTCGTCCGATGCATTGACTTCAATGGCTGCGGCCGCTCCCATCAACTGCAGAAAATCCCCAAGAACAAGCACCAGAGACTGGAGTGGTGACTTGATTTAAACCCAGGCTGAGCTGCCATACATCAGGTTTTTGGCTTAAATGTAGGCTGATAAATCAGCAAATCAAAACATGTCCATTCATGTAGGCTGGTAAATCAGCAAATCAGAACATTAAACAAAAATTAGCTCGAATGTTTGAATGTACGGATTGACAGAGCCGGAGCCCACGCTAAGCAGAGCTTGTTGCGTAGAGAACCCGACCCCTACCGTCCTATCGCGCAATTCCGGGTAACAGGAGAATTAAGATGCCAAAGTTTAACGTGCCCTTCAAAGCCGGACACGGCCTGTCCCACTCAACTGACTTCAACTGGCTGCGGCTGCTCTCACGAACTGCAGACCATCCCCGTCAGGAGTCTCAAATATCGAGCGTCGGGGCGACTCGAACCCGGGTTCTCACTACCGAACCCGGGCTCTCACTACCGGGAGTCCAGCGCTCTACCGACTGACCAACGGGACGGGCAAACATGTCCATTCAATCGGTTTGCAGCATGAAGAGGCGATTGACAGCCAGAACTGACTTATCGGCAATGGACCCAGGACCCAGCACGCAGGAGTCAGGACTGTGTTGCCTACCTATCTTTAAGAATCTCCTGAGTCTTACCATCCGCTACCATCCTATTCGATACCTGTGATCAAGATTGAGGATGCCAGTGGGGTGGTCACAGCTGTGGATCTGTGACATACGAGCTTGGCTTAGCGGGCAGCCAAGTCTGGTTGTTGCAAACCACCTGACAATTGACATTGAACCAATGTGAGATGTATGCAAAATGGGGATTTCCCATTGTGGATATACTGATACAAGGTGAGGATTTCAATTTGACGTGGTTCAGATTTCTCATGAAGTGATGGGTTACTGTGAAGAAACCCTGTTATGGGCATGACTGTCCAATAAAATAATGTATTTGAGACAATAGGGTTATGTTGCAGCTGGAGAAATGGCCCGTTTCCAATCTGCAGCAGTTCAGACTTCAGATTTGGGTTTACTCGGTCTGCGATCATATTTCCCATCGGCCATCCGTTCCAATTCAAATGTCAGTAACATCTGCATGTCAAATTAAGCATTTTTAACAATTGCATGAAGTCATTACAGTTAATTCAAATTTGAATCATCAATTAGCTTAGAATTGAGATTCAGATGTGCAAAGTGAAAAGCAATGTCAATGTGAATGAAAGCAGCTCATATGAGCAGTGAGCACAGCCCACAGGGTTCCGGGGTCAGGAGCGTTCAACTTTCAAGCATATATGGCCTTGGTTCAAACAGGAGAGATAATTATTGACAAAAGAAACTGTGTATTTTTGTTTCCTACTTACTACAAGCTCTTGAATACCTACACAATAATTCCCCAATACACTAATAAAACTCCGCAATCTCTCCAACACTTGAACTTGTTTACCGACCCGCCCCCTACTGCTACACGCTGCTCATGCTACAGCAAGGCAGGGAGCCACGTGTGTTTGGCATGCGAGAAATGTTGATATTCGAAGGTTAGCGCTAGCGAAAAATCACCAATGATGATCGGCCTTCGGCTTCCCTGGCGGTTCCATTGGCAAATATTCTCCCGAGGTGATTTCAGCATATTTACAATATGCTTCCTAGAACACATTTGGGAAGTTTGAGACTAGGGAAAAATTTCTATTCAATTTACTTTTGGATGACAAGTTTAAATCAATATTTAAGTTAGGCCTAATGGTAATCTTATCAATGTATTTTTGCCCAATGGTAATTCCGTAATTGAAAAGAAGCCTCATTTTCTTCTTTGAAAAAACGAATATTTTTCGTTAAATCGCAAAATTTGGAGAAATAATACATATACTAGAGACTTTCTCGCTATCAACAAAACATTGCGCCATTTTGAGTTGAGGCGTCGCTGTCGTCGACGATTTCTCCTTCGAGAGCGTTGTGGGTGAGTCTCTTTTGAGCTATTTTTCGATTTTCTTGCTATATTAATTGGTTCCAGCCGCTGGAAATAAATTATAACCTCTTTGATATTTGAGATAGGACCTGAATTCTCAGTTTGTGTTCTCGCTTGTTTCATAAGTCGATCAGGGCACCGAGTCTTCCCGTTATCGCCTCTGGTGAATCATCTCAATAATCTTGGCCCATTGCTCAGGCCGTAAGCCATCCTTTCAACTATTGATCCTAAAAATCAATTAAATCTATCGCCAAAACCATAAAGTGTATATTGGTACTCCACAGTCCACACTAAATTCATTTGACGAAGCTTGTGGGGTAGCAATTGAATTGCATGTCAGTAGGCGGAACTATGGTCAAGCGTACCCATTTTCGGGAACGCATTTTCGTTCCCATCTTTGGGAACGATAAACCCAAATATGGGAACGCCATGTAGGAATTATTTAAAACAAGAAAAAGAACCGTTAAATGACGTCCAAAAAATATAAAACGATCGTGAACCGCCTGATATTTGTCTCAATATTGTTGGGAAAGAGTTTGATATTGTAAGGCCCATCGTAGTTTCAAATCGTTCCCCTATTTCTAAAGCAGTCCATCATCCGGGCCGCGAGCCCAAATTTGGGAACGTTCTCGTACACTGGCGCTGCAAGCGTTCCTTATTATGGGAACGGCGTACCCAAAATTGGGAACGACTTCACCGACGCCTTTCATGGGCTCTTTTCATTAACAAGCATCACGTCCAACGCCGCAAATTATTGTTAACGTAACAATCATCAGATGACATCAGAATTATCGGGTGTGTGCGCTTGGGCCGATTGGGGGTGTGCGCGTTGGGAGTTTGCAAGAAAGGCACAACAGAAAGGCACAAAAAGGTCTGAGTTCAAGAAATTTGCATGTGACATGCATGTGACTGCATGAGCGGACAACGTCAACACTACGTCTACTTGTCGTCCGCGTCTGCTCATCTGCCTCTGCATGCCTGGTTGCTAGTACCATTTGTGTCTTCCTTGGACTCCTTGCTTGTCTGCTGCACATGCTAGTGCTCTGCAACTGGGCCGCTGCCTTGCCTTCCCCTGCCTCAGCCAAGCTTTCCACACCCTGCTAGCCTGTGACGCGCCAAGCTCGATTGCAAGAGGGCTGCTGCCTGGCTGGTTTTGACAAGGACAATGCGCAGAGGGTCTCGGAATGCCAGGGGTGCTGGCAGGCGTGGGAGAAGCGCAAGTGTCACTGGTGCTGGTGTACTTAGGGGAGAAGAGTGTCTATGCGGTACATGTGGGGATGATGTGGGAAATGACCCCATAGGGTGCGACAAATGTGAACAATGGGTCCATGGGAATGAAATGTGCTCAGGTCTACCTCAGGAGCTCATTGAGGCTATAATGAAATATGAGGGTAAAGGAATCCAATTCATGTGCATGAAGTGCCAGGTACAACATGTTGAGAATCGTGGTAAATCTCCCTCTAGCCATACTGAACCACATCTAGCCGAGACAGTCAGTCACTTATTCAATCAAGTCAAAGGGATCTGTTCTGCCATTCGAGATCTCGCATCTCAGGTTAAGACCCTGTCTGCTAAGACTGAGAAAACATGCCCCTGTGATGCTGCTGTACACACCCAAACCCAAGCTGCAGCACCACAACCACAGCCTCATCAACCACAGCAGCAACAGGACTATCGCACCATGATACGTGAGGAGCTCAAGGAGCAGAAAGAGCGTGAAAAGCGACGATCCTTTCTCATTGTCAGGGGTCTTCCTGCTAACTCAGCCTCAGAATTTATCAGGAAGTTTGCTCAGCTCACTGATGACTGCATGGGAATGAGGGTTGAGCCATCTGAAGCCTTTGCTATAACTGGTCACTCAAACTTCTATCGCATCAGGGTACCAGATGATGACCAACGGAAAGAGATCCTGGAGAAGGCAAAGCAACTAAAAGGCTCTCGATATGACAAAGTTTTTGTCAACAGGGACCTGACTTATTCACAGAGAACCGAGCTCTACCATCGTCGCCAGGCCCGCCGGCAGCAGGAGCCTGGGTTGAGAGCTGGGGACCAGAGACCTGTGGATGCTCTTAACCCGGCAGTTGCTGGGGTATTTCGCCACCCACCGTTTGCTGGGGGGGGGGGCGTTAAACGCCCCCAGCCGATAACTCGAGAACCAATAGGCGCAGCGAAACGCACGAGGCGGCAAACGAAAGAGCGCGACGAGACGCTTCAGATGAGTACTTTAAAGTTGAATTTTGAGGTCACAGGTCGGGTCAAGGTCAGGTCAAACACCTGAAATCGGGCTTTCAGTAGCATGGACTTCAGGACTTCGCAATGGGCGCCTCTCGCCATAAACTCTGTCAAAACGGTGCACAATCCATCTTATAAGGCCCACAAGAGTGTCAGCTCCATGTAGGGGTCAGTCAAGCATAGGTCAGGGTCAAGGTCAGGTCAACCGGGTAGGCACATATCCCCGAAAATCAAAACTGATATTCGCAGCCTGTGACACATGTTTTATAGGTAATTTGGGGCGTAGAACACGATGGTGACATTCATTTTATCATATGTGTACGTGTTTGGCTCAAAAAGTTCAGTTTAAGAAATGCATGTATCATGGTCGTGAAGTAGTCACGAAAAATTGCCAAGATTCAGTTCAAGATTATGGAAAATTCGGAACAATAATCAATAATCGAAGATAGCCATTTGATTGACCATGGTATTGGCAGTCTAATGGCGTTTACGGCATGTCTGTATGTCTATTCTGTGATTTTATATGATTTTTTGAACATATGCCGTTTTTGGTCGAAAACTCAGAAATCATGACGTCACTAAAACCTCGATATCTCAAAAATTTTCCGACCGATTTTTTTGAAACTTTGTCACAATAAACTTCAATCAATTCCCTACAGGTACCCAAAATTTGGCGCGCCTGCGGCGCGCCGTTTTTATGCTATGGCCCGGCGAAAAAAGTGGGGGCGTCTAACGCCCCCCCCCAGCAACTCGCGGGTTAATGATGCTCCACGTCAACAGGCTGCTCTCCCACAAGCTGCCGCTGGTGCCCCTGCCCCTGCCCCAGCTAACGCGTCTACCCAAGCGGGTTCGGGAAACTAGCTCCCAGCCTGCAGACTGCCTCAGTGATCCGGATTGCTCAAGTCAATGTTAATGGTTTGCCATCCAAGATGAATCAGCTTAACAACTTTGCCAAACTCCATGACCTTGATATTGTATGTATAACTGAGTCACATCTTCTTAACCACACAAAGGATTCATTTGTACAGATGCCTGGATATTCACTTATTCGGAATGATGTTGCTGGTACTGTCTACAAGCATGGTGTTTGTGTATATGTGAGAGAAAATGTTGTTACAAATGGTGTCACAACTCCTGTCCCAAATGTGCTAACTTTCTGCTTGACTATCTACAACACTTATGTAGTAGTTGTTTACAGACCGCCTTCAAACTTGGAAGCTGAGAATACCATGCTGATGTCTTTCCTTTCAGACTTCTGCACTGACAGAGAGGTGATTGTTTTGGGAGACTTCAATCTGCCAAACATTGACTGGGATGCTCCAAATGGGTTTCAGAACTGTTCAATGCTCGAGAGAGATTTCTGCAATCTATTCAGCCTTGCCGGTCTTACTCAATGGGTCACCCAACCAACCTACCCCAGATCAGGAAACATCCTTGATTTGGTACTGACTTCTGAGACAGACCGCCTTGGACTGTTGGAGGTTTGTCCTCCACTCCCAGGTTGCGATCATTGCCCAACTCTTTTTGATTATATATTTGAGATGCAAAGTACAAATGTGCCCTCAGGTCCCCCACAGATGAGCAGGAGAGCCTGGAGCAGAGGTCGTTATGAACTGATGTGCCAGAGACTAAGGACTATTGACTGGGATTTTGAATTAGCACATCGTGATTGCAATGATTCCTTCAACCACTTTACTAAGCTTATCTGTGATTTGACAGACGAGTTTGTACCTGAACAGACATCAAACAGAGGTAAACCATCCTGGCAAAAGAGACCCCCTACTAGTCTAATGCACCGTCGGCGCAGGGCATGGCAGACCTACAAATTAGTAAGGGAACGTAAAGGGAGAAAAGCTCATGAGTCTCGCATGGCCTATCAAGAGTTTGCTTCTGTCAATAAGGAGTTAAAAGGGTTTGCTGTGAGATCCCAGAGTCTGTATGAAGCTAGCCTAATGGAGAGGTCCGCTGAAAACCCTAAACTCCTGCACTCCTACATCAGATCCAAGAAGGTGGGATGCCCATCTGTTGGCCCCCTGCTTCTCCAATCTGGGGAAGTGAGTGATGACGCCCAGGCTATGACTGAAGTGTTTGCCACCTCTTTTGCATCGGTGTATTCGACTAACTCACCAACCAACCCTGCCCCTCACCAGGAGTTTGACGGGTCACTTCAAAATGTTGACCTGACGACCGAAGACATTTGCTCTGCGCTGATGGCCCTTGACCCACACTCAGCCATGGGCCCTGACAGACTGAATCCCTTGGTACTTAGGCGTTGTGCTGCAGAACTGGCTCGTCCCTTACTCATGATTTTTTCCAGATCTCTCCAGGAAGGCCAACTGCCTGTCCTATGGAAGCTGTCCCATGTTATACCGATATTCAAAAAAGGCCGACGATATGATCCACTTAATTACAGGCCCATCAGTTTAACTTCTGTGGTGTGCAAGAGCATGGAACGAATTATTTGTGCCAAACTTCGTGACTACTTGGAATCAAATGACTTACTGACACCAAATCAGTTTGGTTTCAGGGCAGGCAGGTCAACTATGGATCAGCTGTTACTTGTGTATAACGCCGTTTCGAGAGCAGCTGACATGGGTGGAGTCACAGATGTAATATTCTTCGATTTCAGCAAGGCGTTTGATGTGGTCTGTCACGATTTGATGATTGCTAAGCTGAGGTCTCTGGGTATCCATGGCCGTTTGCTTGATTGGCTTTCCTCATTCCTATATGGCAGGGAGATGCAGGTTTGTGTTAAGGACTGTAGGAGCCGGCCAAGGAATGTCCTTAGTGGTGTCCCACAGGGTAGTGTCCTTGGACCACTTCTGTTCCTAGTATATGTGAACAGCATAGCCTCACAGTTAACAAGCAGTTATAAAATTTTCGCCGATGATCTTAAAATGTATGCCTGTGTGTCTCATGCTCCCGCTCTATCAACACTGTCTCATTATCAACATGTGCAGAAAGACATTGACCTCTTACACACCACAGCAGCATCATGGGGTCTTAGAATGAACTCAGATAAATGTGTCGTGCTAAGATTTGCCAACTCTAGATCAAAGCTAGTCTCTCCAGAGTACTTCCTTGACGGCCAACAGATCCCTTCTGCTGAGAGCCATCTGGACTTGGGCGTTACCGTTGACTGCCAATTAAAGTTTCACGAGCACATCAGGGGTGTGGTTCGTAAGGCTAGTGGTTTGGCACAGAATCTGTTAAAGTCGACTGTCTGCCGATCGCGTGAATTCATGTTGTTTCTATTGCTTACTCATATTCGTCCAATGCTTGAATATTGCTCTTGTGTCTGGTACACTGGCTACATAGAGGATATGCGACTCTTGGAGAGGGTTCAGCGACGTTGGACCAAGCGAATCGATGGGCTAGCCTCATTGAGCTACGCTGATCGCTTGCAGGAGCTGAACTTGTATTCGGTTCAGGGTCGACTGACACGCGCTGATCTCATTCAGTGTTGGAAAATCTTCAATAGGAAGTCTTGCATTGCTCCTGATGAACTGTTTAGCCTGTGTCCCCAAACTCGCACCAGAGGTCACTGTCACAAGATCTTTCCCTTGCACTCACGCACAGATGTTAGGAAGCGTTTTTTCACTGTGAGGTGTATGCGTCTTTGGAATGCCCTACCCGCAGAGGCGGTATGTGCCCCAAACCTATCTAGGTTCAAGGAGGTCCTGCATGACACTTTGCATGGGAGTTTGTTCGCCTATGTCTAACGTTACTTGAACAACTGTACAAAACTTTAGCGCGCTGCATATTCTGCCGGCCTCTCTGCACTGTATTCATTTTCTTTTTTTTTTCTCTCTGTGAAAAACCACAGTGTGTTTGTACATGCATACACGCCGGACTCAACGGAAGACGCTAAATTCCAGCTTTCTGCGCTCGCCAACCACAAGTGAAGATCTCCCCCGGCTGGCGCGTCTAGGATTCAGGGTTCCTGTCTGTCCTACTCTTTCCTTCCATCTACATTTCTTGACACTGGGAACCCAACCAGGTGAGTCAACCAGGTGAGACCTTTCCGGCAAGACCGTCGCATGTTTCGCCCGGTCTTCTGCGCTTTTATTCCCGTCGATCTCGCAGCGGGCACGCCCCCCTCTGCAGGATTACGTAATTCACAACGCTCAGCGATGTTCAACAAGGTCTTCCATACCTATATCCACCGTCCGCGCCGAGGGTGGAGACATGTCAAGCACCTGTCTGTTTATCACCGATAGTTGACGAGCACAAGGAAGTATCCAAAAATGGGAACGCTGAATATGTTACACCCGCAAAACACCTAGTCCCATGGAAAATCTAGTTTTTTCCTTTCTTAATGAGTGTAAGTGGCAAAAGGCCTGGTAGGATGGGCACGAGGAATGATCGAAATCAGCATAAAAATTATAAATAAGCCACACAGAGCGACCTATATAAGAGAAATTCCCCCAAAACGATCATGCTTAGAAACACGGAAGACAAAAACCACGCTCATGACGCTCCTTATAAAACAACGCTAAACAGCTAGCATCCAAATAAAATATGTCTTTCCGGACTGTTAAAATACAGCTGAATAATTTTAAACCACTGAAACTGAGTTTACAACAGTAGTTCGGCAAAATCACTGACGTTCCACGCGGTCGTGCGCCTCGACACCAAAAGTCAACAATATTACCTCGGGACTGTCCGCGTGTTCGCTTGCATATGTCAGCATCTGGTGTCGCTAGTACGAAACTTCATAACCAGGCGAAAATTATTATACTTGACCTCAAAATGTAAAAACGCTTCATTTTCCTTTAAATTGCATGTTAAATGTAGTATAACCCATGTTTTCACCATTCCGCCATTTCAAAAAATCATTAAAAATATCATTCGACGGTCAATTTCCTTGTTCAACGGTCAGAATAAAGATAATTTTATAGAGATTTAGTAGAGCACTTTTTTGAGACGTGATGCACTAATGAGTTTTAGTGGGCGAACGGCCGAAAAATTATCTTCCGTTCTCATAAATGGGAACGCCCGTTCCCATATTTGGGAACTCCGTTCCCAAAAATGGGAACGTTCCTATATTTGGGTACTCATGACCATAGTTCCACCTACTGATGTTCCAATTCAGACTCCGGAGTTTCTCTGCAGCAGAGGTCACAGACCCAGAAGCTTCATTAGAAAAATATAACCCTACCTAATTTAACATAAAACTGCAGATATTGAATATTATTTGGGCACATTTTTACAGAGAAATCAGGAAATGCCCTTAATTTTGACTCCTCATGCTTTGCTATGCAATTCCAGTAGTAAGGGTAGTTGCATTGCCTTGGTTTTATTTTTATAATAAAAATATAACAAATTTTCATGAATTTTTTATTTTATTTTACAGGAATATACATGCACTTAAACTACTTGTAACAAAAATATTATCTTATTGCAGCACCACACCTGTCAAGATGTTCAAGTCAAAGCGAAAGTCAAAGAAGTTGGAGATATCGGCTCCAACAAACTTCTGCCACCGTGTGCACACTGACTTTGATGAGCGGCAAAATAAGTATGTAGGCCTGCCGCTCCAGTGGGTCTCCCTGGTGGAGCGCAACGCCAAGGCGCTGGAGACGCGGCCTCGTGGTGTGGTGGACCCTCTGCAGGTCACACCCACAGACATGATGGACCTCAACAAGGTCAGTGTCATCTGTGACAGGGGGGGGGGGGACTGGGAGCATGTACTGGGCTAGGTCAGTGCAGCTAGGGTTACAGGGAAGACTGACATTTGTGGCACTGAGCTAAACAGGTGTGACAGGAAAATGGTATTGTGTCATAGCCCATGTTTGCTGTTGTACTCAAATGACTAGAGAAGGTGATAGATTATAGTTGTGTGCTTAATTTGATTTTAGTTTAATTACTTCATCATCTGTAGATCATTTACAAATTTTTGACAGATGTTTTTTTTTTTGTAAATCTTTACCTTGGATCCAGTGTGTTCAATCTATCCAATCCAGTGCACTCTGTGTGTCTGTTGTGCCAATGTTACCACCTCCTGCGCTCCATCTGACTCGCTCTCTCGGCCGGCTGCAGCCGGTGGTGCGCGGCTCGGCCAGTCCGGGCGCCGGCGCCGGTCAGCCCGTGCACAACGGCGTGGCCGTGCTGCCGCGCTCCAGCAGCGTGGCGCGCAGCAACTCGCTGCGCCAGCACTCGCCGCCGCTGCGGCTGCGCGCCGCCCAGCGCGGCCGGCCAGCGCAGGGCCCGCTGCCCGAGGAGGGTGGCGAGGAGCCGCGGCCGCCGCCGCCCGGCCACGGGCCCGCCGGAGACGGACAGGTGAGGGGTACGGGGGGAGGGGGCTCTGGGACAGCCGCCGCCCGGCCACGGGCCCGCCGGAGACGGACAGGTGAGAGGGACACCGGGAGGGAGGGGGCTCTGGGCCAGCCGCCCGGCCACGGGCCCGCCGCAGACGGACAGGTGAGGGGTACGGGGGAAGGGGGCTCTGGGCCAGCCGCCCGGCCACGGGCCCGCCGGAGACGGACAGGTGAGGGGTACGGGGGGAGGGGGCTCTGGGACAGCCGCGGCCGCCGCCTCCCGGCCACGGGCCCGCCGGAGACGGACAGGTGAGGCGGACACCGGGGACGGGCGCCGGGAGGGAGGGAGGCGGTGCCGAGCCGCCCCGGTCGCGTGAAACACGATCCGTCGCGTGCGGCGTCGGCCGCTGAGCCGTGCCGTCCTGTTTTCCCTCGTTTGTTGACAGGCTTTGTGCGATAGGAATGCGGCGCTTTGTGAATAATCCGACAGATATGTGACGTCAAAATGTACACTCTTCAACGGAAGAGATAGTGTGGTTACAATCTGTAGCATACTAGGGGTAAAAATATCCCCGTTGCTTCCAAGAACGGTTCCAGAAGTTTAGGGTATTAATGGGTGATTACCTTGACTGTGTGAATGAAATACTTCTGCCAATATTTCACTCGCAATTCCTGCTTCAACCGTCAAAAATTCAATGTGCAAGAAGGCCATCCGTTAGCGCTTATTGTAGCTACAGGCTCGGCTCCAGATGCCGTGGTTTCGGGTTTCGTGGTCGGTGTGGGGCCCGTTGATACTGCTCCAAAGGTCGAGTGCCGTACTAAAGGGGTCGGTTGGTGTGGTATCGATCTGTCGTCTGAGTTTGTACCTCAGAGCACGGCAAAGCGTCATACTGCCACCTCCGGCAATGAGTTCGACTTTTATGACCTTAGAAAATAACCGTATTGAAATTTATGGTGTATGTGATTGATGTCTGACCAATGAATCAACATCGGGTGCAACTTGCAAGTGTTGCTGTTTTTAAAGTAAATTATTCTTTTTCTTCCGTCATGATGGCATGTGACGGTTTCCGTAGTAAATCGGGATGAGGTCGCAGTCAGTGTTGTGTCTGAGGCGTTTTGTCTCAGCTCCGGACGGTCACCGTCTGAATATCCGGTCTCCCCGCCGAGGGAACGGACGTATAGTCGGCCCGTATCTCGTTTGCAGTCCGATAGAAAAACTCTGAGATCTTAGCGAACCCACCTATCTTGCCTGGTCGCCACCTATCGTGAGAAGTTTGCTGGGTTTCGCACATGCTGTCAAAGCCGGCTGGCAGACTTGTAGATAACATTTGCCGTGGTGGTGCCGGTACCCAGAGGAATGCGTCCTCTCGTTTTGATGTACAAGCTGAAGATACGAGAGTACGATTCAAAGGGCATTTATATATTATTATATATTATATATTATATATATATATATATATATATATATATATATATATATATATATATATATATATATATATATATATATATATATATATATATATATATATATATATATATATATATATTGGAAGTAAACTGTTAATCGAAGTTGAGTTTTTTTTTGTTTATTTAGTTTCAGACGTAACATAGGGGATTGCCATTTGTCATTGATAATGTTAACGATGGCTGCATCTTCAGACGCATCTGGGTTCACCGACGGTCTGATGTAAAGGACCGATGTAAGTGTTTCGGAACCGTTTTCCTTATAGTTTGACCGATAATTCCTGTTTGCTCTCTTCTATCTAACGCGGCCCGCTGCTCCGTTTCAGGTCCGCCCGCTCGGGTACGGGGACGGCCGGTCTCCGGGCCCGGGCCGTCCGCCGCAGCAGCACCCGTCCCAGCTGGGCCCGCGCGGCCCCGGCCCCGGCCCCGGCCACCCGTCGCCGCTGCTGCGGCACCAGCGGCCCGGGCCGCAGGGACCGCTCGTCTACCCCGGACACCCGGGTCACCCGGGCGGACCGCCGGCGCACCCGGGCACCTACCCCGGCGGGCACCCGGGCGGACACCCCGGGTACCCACCGGGACACCCCGGACACCCAGGACACCCCGGCGGTCACCCGGGCCACCCCGGCCACCCGCCGCACTCGTCAGCGCAGAGCCTGGGTCCGCGGCCCTCGCCACAGCCCGGGCCGCCGCCGGCCGGCCACGAGGGCGCGCCACGCGGCCCCGGCTACGGGCCGGCCGACCCGACCGGCTACGGCGGGCCGCAGGCGGGCGGGCCGCTCTACGGCAACACGCGGCCGCCCGGCCCGCCGCCGGCCAACCTCAACGACAGCCGCGAGGGCTGGCCGCCGCCGCACCGGCCGGCGTCGGCGCTGTCCGGGGGCGGGGCGCCGCTGCCGCAGCCGCGACACCAGCCGCACCAGTCGCCGGCACCGCAGGACGGCTACCGACCGGGGCCGCCGGCCGGGCACCAGCCGCCGCCGCACCAGTCACCGCACCAGCCGCCGCAGCACCAGCAGCAGCACCAACAGCAGCACCAGCAGCAGCACCAACAGCAGCACCAGCAGCAGCACCAACAGCAGCCGCAGCAGCAGCCACATCAGTACTACTTACCGAAGGTAAGGCGACCAGCTGAGAAGCTCAGTGGAAGTGCCATACACGGTGGATTCACGCTGCGTTCGAGCTGTTCGATGATCAGGGTAAAGTTGATGTTTTTGGTTATCAAGTCTGTTTTTCTAGCTCTTGTATTGTTGCTCCGTGGTGTTTACCTGTTGTTTTCACATTCTGTTGATTAACCGTACTTCGCCGTCTCTGTGTCCCGTTTAGCTGACGCCCCCCCCCCCCCTCCCCCCGCCAGCCGCCGATGCCGCTGCCCGATCACCCGGCGGGCCACCACCCGGCGGCGGCGCCCCCGCACGTGCCGCCCAAGCCGCAGCCGGCGCCGCCCTCGGCCGCCACCGAGGACCACAACCAGAACAGCGTACTGAAGCCGGCGGGCGCGGCGGCCGGCGGCGGCGGCGCGACCGGCCCGGCCCGGGACGCCAAACAGCACGAACCCCAGCGGCTCTCACACGAACAGGTGAGCGCGGCAGACGGGCCCCCGTAGATCTGTCGGGATGTCTTCACAGGCGACTGACCTCTTACGGACGCTGGCTGGAGAATGTTCTTCAAACGCACGATATGCAGGTTTCCTAGAAGGCTGGCTGAACTCTCATTAGCAACAGTCTTAGGTATGCGCAGGGTGCATAGACACAGTGTCTGTGGCATCAAGTGACAATCTACATAAAATTAATAAACAAGTTCAGCTGTTCGTGCCCGTTGTCTCTTGCTTCGGGCTACTCATAAGTACTCTGTCAAATTGGGTTTGATATTTGTTCGAATTTCTGTGCCATATTAATGAATCTGGAAAGGAACGTACGCCATGACCCAGAAACTGAATTTAACGAGCGAAGTTTGGCTAGCAACTGGTTGTCTCTACCCAGAATGAGTCTCAGTCTGGTGACCTTTCACTTGACTTTGTACGCACTTTGGCGCAAGGATGGGCACATGATGGCGAACTTTGACAATTTTAGTGGGATTAGCTACCGTTGTATTGGTTCCTCGTCTCGACAACGGTATGCTTGACGTATAGTGTTAGCAAAACTGGTCTGACTTTCAAATGAAAGTATGATATGAACATTGTCTGAAGTAGGTATTGTTTAGAGTTTCTAATAGTTCGATCGTGGTGGTTCAAATTGCTAATACAAACTATGTGCTGTTTCACATACGTAGCCTTAGTTATGCTACTGCGCAGCACAGCTGTCAGCCTGTCACCGTTTAGGATGCATAAAACCTTAGCAGGATATAAAATGCCGATTTTCCGCCTAATGTGGCCGGGCTCAGCACTTCCCCGTCCCACCTCTGACCCACCCCCCCCCCCCCCGCTCCCTGTCGGCAGTTCCGCGCGGCGCTGCAGATGGTGGTCAGTCCGGGCGACCCGCGCGGCGACCTCCACTCGTTCGTCAAGATCGGCGAGGGTAGCACGGGCATCGTATGTATCGCCACGGAGCGCTCCACGGGCCGGCAGGTGGCCGTGAAAAAGATGGACCTGCAGCGCCAACAGCGGCGCGAGCTGCTCTTCAACGAGGTACGGCACGGCGGGAGAGAGCTGGGTGTGGGACTGTGGGGAGCTGGGTTGAGAGACTTGACTTGACAGTGACTGGAGGACAGAGGGTGCAATTGTAGCGTAGAGCTTTTGTGGGCAGAATGTGGATGAGCTACGACTGAGAAGTGTTCTACCTTTCCTGGTGACAACTCGTTATATATACCCTCATTATCCTAGGCACTTGTTTGGCGTCTCCAACCATTATCTCAACCATTACCTTCCCATACTGGCTCTGCACGACAGAGTCCCTGTCTCTAACTGCTTCTTCTCCCTCCCTCTCCCTCAGGTGGTGATAATGCGCGATTATCCACACCCCAACATAGTGGAAATGTACAACTCGTTCAGCTGTGACCGCCCCCCCCCCCCCTGTCCCGTCCCCACAGGTGGTGATAATGCGCGACTATCCGCACCCCAACATAGTGGAGATGTACAACTCGTTCCTGGTGGAGAACGAGCTGTGGGTGATGATGGAGTTTCTGGAGGGCGGCGCGCTGACAGACATCGTCACCCACTCGCGGATGGACGAGGTGCAGATCGCCACCGTCTGCAAACAGTGTCTGAAGGCGCTGGCCTACCTGCACTCGCAGGGCGTCATCCACCGCGACATCAAATCGGACTCTATCCTGCTCTCCGCCGACGGAAAGGTGGGACCGGAGATCGGGGAAAGGAGGGGGATAGAGGGGCGGGCCATTCTCGATGGAGGGAAGGAACCACACTACTGAGTTCCAACCGACTCGCCACTCATACGTAGCCCTTACATTGGGCGCACAAAATCTGCTGTGACCGTCCTGATCATTTACTGACTCTAAACGCTCAACTGTTAACCGACCCTGGGTAATGGCCCCACGCTCTTGCCCCTTAGTATTTCTTGTCCATTCATTATTTATTATTATTTTTATTATTATTTCATATTCCCACTAACCACCATTCGGTGGGCATTACAGAGGGAAACACATTGACACACATAAACCATATACATACAATACAGGCAGCGCAGTGCCCTGTCATTCATAAGCACGTATAACGAAATCAAAATGCAGAACAAAAGCGATTTTCTATAACACAAAGTTTGGTGAGACAGCGAAGCCTCATAAGTAACCGGCAATTATTACAACGAACAATGTGACATCACCGGAACAACACCACATACATATGCATCATTTTACCGCGTGATTTTCCAAAATATATTTTACAAAATCAGCTTTCGAATAGTTTCGGACATGAATGGGCAAGCTATTCCATAGTTTTGCACCACTGTAAGAGAAGGACGCTTTCTTCATTTCAGTCCTAGGTATAACCAGGTCAAGGTTGCCTGATTGCCTTGTTTGTCGGTCTGACTGTCTCTCTTTAAAGAGAGACACAATTAGTGGCGGCATACATTCAGGGATAAGTAGACATTGACGAACTGTTTTCAATACCGCGATTTTATGCTGTAAGGTAAGATCTCCACGCCAAGCCAGTCTGAGCTTCGCGACCTGCGATACGCTGTGCAAATTTAACTATTTTTCCTATTCTCTTCCCTTGTGTCACATTACAATTTCCCCAGAGAGCCATGCAAAAGCGAATATGAGGAAGAACAAGGGCATTGACTAGGAGGACAATTACCTTTAAGGGCATCACGCGACGAAGCTGGCCCAATCGAATTAGCATACCAGTACACTTTCGAATGACACCGTCAATGTGACTGCTCCACGTAAGGCAACTATCCAGCGTTACACCTAGACTAGTTAGTGATGGCTGTACGGGTACTGCAGTATTAAAAATATTTAGACTCCTAACATTGACATTTTTCATGGTGACTTTGGAACCAAACACAACAACTTGCGTTTTGAGAACATTAAGTGCAAGTAGATTTCGTGAGAACCACTCAGAAAGTTTCTGAAGAGCAACATGAAGTCGAGTTATGACATTGCCTATATCACGAGGCGAACCAGAGACCAACACTTGGGTGTCATCTGCATACTGGATAATTGTACATAAGCCATTAGCAACTGCAGGTAAATCATTCACGAATAGATTGAAAAGCGTTGGACCCAGAACACTTCCCTGTGGCACACCGGTAGATACATGACCTATTGCGTCGTCGCAACCCCGCACGTACTGAGATCTACCTGACAGGTAGCTTTCAAACCAAGGATGTTCAATGCCATATTGGGAAAGTTTACTCAGCAAGATGTTGTGACTGACGGAATCAAATGCCTTGCTTAGGTCGAGAGAAACTAGAATGCATACGTCTCCATTATCCACTGATGACCTTATGGACTCTGTTAAAAGTATAAGAGCATGTTCGACGGAATGGTGTGCACGAAAGCCAAACTGTTCGTCTGCCAATACGTGGCAATCATCCAAGTACTGATTGAGCTGAATGGAGACGAGTCTTTCAAGAATTTTTGACCCCACGCTTAGCAAAGAGATTGGCCTATAGTTGGATGCAGTCTTGGTATCTCCCTTTCCTTTATAGATGGGGACAACCTCCGCGAGTTTCCAGGATGATGGAACGGTACCACTGGCTATGGAGGCGTTAATAACATGCAATAATGGTGAAGATAGTCGACCACAAAATGATTTAAAGAAGGAAGGAGGAATCCCATCAGGCCCCGATGAAGTTCGTACTTTTAATGAACGTATGACAAACCTAAGCTCAGCATGTGTTGCTGGACGCAATTCAAACTTCGTTGAAAGAACTCTAGAGGGAGCAAACCATGCGCCACTCGACCCAGAGGTAACACTAACACCAGCTTCAGCATTAGTACCGGCGGAGCAAAAAAACTCATTAAATAGGCGCGCCGCACTTCTGTCAAGGGGGTGGGCAGTTTTTGATTTCCCTAGTGTAAGGTTAATAAGATTCCATGTGTCTTTACTAGATTGATGTGTTCCGATGCTCGATTCAAACTTGGAACGCCGTTCGAATGAAATAGCGCTTCGCACTTGGCGGCGCATACTTTTATAGAGTGCTGCGTCAATCGTAGCACCAGAGCGGCGAGCTATGCGCATTTGAGCAGTGGTATCACGTATGAGTTTTCTGGTGGTTCTCGATACGCCGAAACCACTTTTATGCTTGATTTTGGTAGTGACAAGAGGGGCATGATTATCTAGGATAGGAACCACAGCGTTTTTCCAACCCTGCCATGCCTCATCTGGGTCTTTAGCACTAAATACAGGAGACCAGCAGACTGTACGCAGATCGTTCAAAAAAGCATTGGAATCAACATCCTGCCATCTGCGATAGCTAATTAGTTTACGCGGCCGTCTGGATCTTATGACATTCACTCGAACAATAACCAAGTTATGGTCAGAGACAATGCAATCCTCCGAAGAGCAATCTGTCACAAGGGAAGAGTCGCTTACCAGAACAATATCGATAAGCGTGGATGAGGTATTGGTAACACGGGTAGGGTGGCTCACGCATTGATGCATGCCGACATTGTTGATAAAATCCTGCAAGGAGCGAACTTGATACAGATTCGGGCACAGCAGATCACAATTCAAGTCTCCACATAAAGCCACTTGCCTGCCCTCTGATAACAACTTTTTCACTGATAATTCAAGGGCATCAAAATCGTTTTTGATGCCTTCATATATGGGAGGCCTATACGCACAACCCACAATCAAAGCACGATTACAGCCGCATTTCACATTAATCCAAATACATTCAAGACGGCTATTAGCAGGATTGGAAGGGCTGATAACCTTATTAAATTCTAGGTCACTGCGGCAATATATGGCTACACCACCGCCCCTCTTTCCTCGACGGTCACGCCTGCTAGCCAAAGTTAGGCCAGCTATAGGAACATCAGGCTCGCCTCTTCTAAGCCAGGTTTCAGTGATACATAGAACGTAAATCTTGTAACGTTCAACATAATCTGCTACTATATCCACTGAAGGTGCTAAAGAACGCACATTTAAAGTTCCAATTACTAGACCATATTTCGATGAGCGAGCGTACTCAGAGTTCAGGCCAGCATCATGGAATAAACGACTTTGAAGCTTCCTGGGAACAGAGACGTTACTCCACGGTTCTTTCAGCCTAAAAAACCCTCTACCTCACCTGCTAGCAATTGCCATACATTTCTGCACCCATCTCTGTTAAGGTTCAGTCTAGATTTATCTAAGCCACCATACATACATTCCCTCAATCGCGGACGGGTGTCCAAAAAACGAGCACCTTCACAGTGACACAGCCTCTTTATCTCATCGTTGAGATCGCTACGTTGTCTGGATATGTAGTCGTCTGGCAAAGGTAGGTCGTGCTCGTGCGGCACTGAGCATATCACAATGGACCTTACCTTTTTAAGCTGTTTAGCAACTCGTACGACCTCTGATATGCAGTCGACTGTGTAGTCCACACTTCGATGTGACAAGTCGTTTCCACCAATGTGCAAGACGAGGTCCACGCTGAGCGCCCTGCAGCTAGCCACTGCACCACTTAGCGCCCCCAGGGCACTGCGTACGGACCCTCCACGGATGCTTTTAAATAAGGCCTCACCGCCCAAGAAGAACTCATCCCTGGCTGCTGCAGCGATTCGGCGTACATTCTGGCAGCCGAGCAAGACCGCCCCGACACTCGGAACTGGGCTCCTGCTGCGGCTACTACGTTTTCTGCGCGGGCTGACGCGCCTCCAAGCTCCAGAGTTGGTGTGGCGTGACACTGCTGTAGTCGGAGCCGCTGTGGTCGAAGTCGCCGGCAGAGCTCCTGTGCTCGGCGTTCTGCTGGAGCCGGGAGTCGTATGCGACGCCGGCGTTACGTTGGAGTCGAGCGTAGGACAGGCGTACGGCGTTTCGCGAGGGCCAGTCGTTTGGAAATTCCCCGTCACACCAGAGTCAAGTGTAGCGCGGGCTTCAGGTGTCACTCTGGAGTCAGCTGTCGTGCATTTAGACGGTGTGGAGTGGTTGGGTACGACAATGGAGTACTGGGTTCCATCAGAAATCGATCTAGTCCGACTCAAATCATCCACTTTGCTGGAAAGATGGTCAAGCTTCAGCTGGGTTATACGGATGGCTTCCATCAAGTCCATAAGCGTCACTCCCGAGAATGATGGTCCTGGAGTGCCTTCATCCGCGAAATCGGGGCCGGGGTTTCGCTCCACACCTCCTATCACCAGAAGAGTGAGGATCAAGGCCAAGCCAAGAGCCACTGAGTCTTGACCGGCACACCAAGCTGGCTTCAGTTTGCTGGCTGTTCGAACGCCGCAAAACATGCCAATCCGAAGACGGTAGGTTTGCAGGTCAATCATATTTGGTAAAAAGACGAAAAAATAAGAGATGATATTCAATTATCTTGCGGCCATTAACTTTTTATCACTTAAGAAATAACATTTTCGTATTTTGGTGAAGATAATATTTAAAAAACCATAATTATTGAGGTATAAGTCAGGAGCAGCAAAAATTCCGACTTCACACTGATTCACACTGATTCATAGCGTGCTTATCTCGTACTGACCTGCACCTTACCCATTCTGACCACGTGCTGACTCGTAGCTACCCACCATCTTTCAGGTGAAGCTGTCGGATTTCGGTTTCTGCGCCCAAGTATCCCAGGAGCTGCCGCGCCGCAAGTCCCTGGTAGGCACGCCGTACTGGATGGCGCCGGAGGTGATCTCCCGGCTGCCGTACGGGCCAGAGGTGGACATCTGGTCACTGGGTGAGTGGGGGACATCTGGTCCGTACGGGCCAGAGGTGGACATCTGGTCACTCGGTGAGTGAGGGCGGCGGCGGGGGAGTCCCAGCAGAGCAGAGCCCAGGGAGGCGCTATCCCTCTGAGATAGAGGAAGGAGCTGGCGTATGCTATGTTTTTTGCGTAACTTGGGCCATTCAGGGAGCCTGTTGGCCTGAAAGGTCCAGGAAATTTGCTAAATGACGCGCTTAAATCTGACGGACTGTTGTTGAGCCTATGCTGTAATGCTTGTTTCCTTGGTTTACATAAATTAGGAGCTGCGACCAGAATATAGATAGATAAATAAGACCCGGTGATAATGCCTCGCAGTCATAACTGCGTTTGTAAACGGAACAGAATTGAAAAGGGATCATTCGACTTAACTGCCATATCAATTACCATGTAACTCTTACCGGTCATATGACCCTCGCCTCTGACTACCGTCTGACCTGTCCGGCAGGCATCATGGTGATCGAGATGGTGGACGGCGAGCCGCCCTTCTTCAACGAGCCGCCGCTGCAGGCCATGCGACGCATCCGGGACATGCCGCCGCCCAAACTGAAAAACACCAACAAGGTGCGGACGGGGGACAAGGGGCATAGGGCTGACGGTGGGCCAACTCGGGAGAAACTGTAGACTGAGTGGGTTGAATGTCGACAGAGCGTCTAACAGTCTTATCGTTCCACCTGCCGTCTCGTGTGATGGTCGGACCGCTGTCTTATCTGACTGACCGCCGTTCTGGCTCGCCTTACGCCCTGACGCCGTCCCCCCGGCCGTCTGACCCTATGTTTCGTGTCCCGCCCGTCAGGTGTCGGCTCGGATGGTCCTTTAGTGCCCTGACCATCTGACGGTGTTTCATCCTCTGCCCCGTCTGACGGTGTTTGTGACCTCTGCCCGCCAGGTGTCGGCTCGGATGCAGGGTTTCCTGGAGAAGATGCTGGTCCGCGACCCGGGCCAGCGGGCCACCGCCTTCGAGCTGCTTCAGCACCCGTTCCTCACGCAGGCCAAGGGGCCCGAGGTGCTGCTGCCCCTGATGGCCGCCGGCACGTGAGGGCAGAGCCGAGAGCAGCAGGGTAGAGCTGGGAGGGACGCGGTACCTCCGCCGGACGGTGCGGCGGCGCCGGGGCTCGGGTGTGTTCAAAGATTCAACGAAATGAACTGAGTATCGGTGTCCGCGCGGCGCGCATGGAGTGAGCGGTCGGTCAGGCCGCGAGTTATGAGTGAAGGCGAGTTGGAACGAGTGGTAATTACTGAGTGAGTGAGAGTGCGCGCGAGTGATGTGTGCCAGAATCATAGAGATCATTCCCACGAGCCCCTCCTGCCTCTGCTGTCGGCGGTCGCTACCGATGGCGAGTTTCGCCGCCCGACGGATGGGGGTGTATTTGTATCAGGTATTCGTAGCAGCTACTCAGACTCGCAGTCTCGAACCATGGTAGCTGAAGGCGGCTAGCAAGTCGTTATTTGATGCATTTATGTACTCTACTTAAACTGTGCGGCCGACTGACTTAACGTGAGGAAGAGATGATAAATAGTGAGACCCTCCGTCAGCTCTTCCCTTGCGCTTTACCGCAGCTCTTGAGATTCCGACTGCCCTTGTATAGTCGTCTGATTAGTGTGCCGTCCTGAATATGGTTGTCATGTCCGAATTGGTTACACAGTGCCGCATTGGTCCAATGCCGCCCGTCGGGAGCTGTCGTTGGCCGTCCCCGCTTACTGAATGCCGTCCTGTACCGACCCCAGGGTGTGTCGTACCGTGCCGTTACCGGGGCGTCGTTACCGGTGTCGTGATACCGATACCGCAGCGTGCCGTACCGCGCCGCTACTGGTACAGTAACGCAGTGCGGTACCGTGGCCGGGCTGCGCGCCGTGCCTTGCTGAGAGAACCGATCGCCGTCCGATGTGGCTTGTTACGACCCGACAGACAGACAGACAGACAGACGGACAGACAGACATATCGGGGCCGGGCCGGCCTGCCGCTCCCCGCGGGCAAATGTAATGGAGTGGCCTGCAGACAGGAGCGGCGGCGGACTGGCCGCCCGTGCCGCGCTGGTGACCCGGCCCGGGCTGTGTCCGCCCTGAGGGTGCCCTGAACTGACGGGCCGCGGTGTGGCTGAGTTCGTCAGCGCGCCCGCTCTGACGGACCGCGGCCGCAGCCGGCCGCCTCCCGGCGCTCCCTCCGCGCCCACTGTTTCATTGTTGGACGTAACGAATTTTTATTGATGTGCTCGCCGACGCCGGGGCCGCTCGTATTGTTAGTTTGTAGACAGCAGTCTTCAGTCGACTGGCTCTTCCATCGGCACCACGTCGGCCGTACTTAGCCGTGTGAACGGACGTTTTTGTGATCGGAAATGCTTCGGTCGTCGTCGACATTGTGTATATTCGGTGTCATTATTTCGATTTGTACTTTTTCCTTCGATTTGTGACATTCCCCGACCAGCTGTGTACATTTTGTCGGACGTAGGACTGCTTTGTTATTCATGTTTTTGTGCGCGAGCGGCCCTATTGTATCAACGGATAGACCAACAGAAACTATGGCCAACCTTTTCTAATATATATTCCGATGCAAATAGTAGTTTGAGATTTGCCTGGGTGGTATCTGATGACATTTTGTGATGACATCTGTACATCTTGCTCGTCACTACATGCGAGATGGAATTTCAGGTACCTACATATCAGGAATATCGGTGTATGTAGGCTGTGCCGCGTTACACGGTCCTGGATGTAGACTGTGCGGCAAGGCACGGTCCTGGATGTACGCTGCACCGCATTACACGCCCTGGATGTAGGCTGTACCGCACTACACGGTCCTGGATGTAGGCTGTACCGCATTACACGTCCTGGATTTATGTAGACTGAACCGCACTTCACGGTCCTGGATGTAGACTGCACCGCATTACATGCCCTTGATGTAGGCTGTACCGCACTACACGGTCCTGGATGTAGGCTGTACCGCATTACACGGTCCTGGATGTAGACTGTACCGCATTGTACAGCCCTGGATGTAGGCTGTGCCGCATTACACGCTCCTGTATGTATGCTATGCCGCACTAAACGGTTCTGGGTATAGACTGTGCCACACTACTTGGTTCTGAAAAGGCTGATAGAGGCTCCTCCTCGTACTCCTCCCCCGCTCGCCACCAGTGCCGCTGATCCTACTCCAGCGGCTCCTGCAGGAGCAGCAACTCACGCTCCTGCTGGTGTCTCCTGCTCAGCTCCTGCATCTCCTCCTGGAGTTGCTGCTCTATCCCCTGACGCTGCCTCCTCTGGGGCTCACTTCTCCGCCCGAACTGGAAGCGTTGCAGCCATTGATTCCGCTCCCGTCCTTGGTCCTCCGACTGCTGGTCCTGTAGTCCTTGGTCTTCTGGCTGCTGCTGGTCTTGTGGTCCTCGGTCCGCTGGCTGCTGACCCAGCACCCCAAGCCCTGGCAGCTGTCGATCCCCCAGCTCCAGTGACGCGTGAAGGTACCTCCGCCCCACTGCGCTTCGCTCCCGTAGCTGGCGTCGCTCCAGCTCTACTAGTCGCTGTATGAGCGCGTGGAAGGCCCGCTGCTCTTGTTCAGGGAGGCGGGGTTGGACCTCTGCGGCCGCTCCGTCCTCAGTCAGCACGTGCCGCCGCAGACACCACCGGTCCGTCCCACCGAGAGCGGCCGAGTACTCCGTCTGCAGCCGGTCGCCGGCCAGCAGCCGCCGCAGTCGCAGCCGCCAGAACCGGGCGGTGATCGCGGCCGTCTCCCGGTCCATGTGCGGCAGTCGCTGCCGCAGGAACGAGTCTAGTTGGTCGGAGCAGCTGAGGAGCGTCTCCAGGGCATCACGGATCCGCTGCAGGGGGAGGAGCGTCGGACAGGGGTCGGACCACCTGGTGCCCCGCTCCTCCACTCCCCGCCACCAGTCGCCCATGCTCGGCACGGCCTCGCTGATGGCGCGCAGCAGCAGCTCCGGCCGCAGCAGCAGCTCGGCCCGGCCCCGCGGCGTGCCCAGCTCGGCGGTCAGGCCGGCCGGCCGCTCGGCCTCAGGCCGCCGCAGCTGCCGGCGACACCAGGCGGCCACCGCTGCCGGGTCGCCCAGCAGGTAGTGCAGGTCCGTGTCGTCGAGCAGGTCCATCAGTGGCGCGGCGTCCCACGTGAAGAGCCCGCCGCCGAGGTGTCTGAGCGGCGCCGCGCCCACCAGGTCGGCAGGCGCCACCAGCAGGGCCCGCAGCAGGTAGCACTGCTGGGCGTACGCGCTGGCGTGGCAGTGGTGCCGCCACTCGAGCAGCTGCTCCTCGGACGCCAGTGGCGGTACGAAGCAGCACGCCCAGTCGGCCCACTTGGGGAGAGCCGGGCGGTACACCAGGCCGGCGACCACGGCGCGGCGCAGCAGCAGCCGCGCCAGCCGCAGCCGCAGCCGGCGCTCCGGCAGCGGCCGCCAGCCGTCCAGCAGCAGCCGCAGGTCGTGCAGGTGCGCCTCACACCAGGCCAGCAGCAGCGGCACGGCCCGCCGGCGCATCAGCGCGATGGTAGACGCCATGTCGCTCAGCTCTCGCGCTCCCTTTTCGGCGAGCAGGTCGATGTCGGGCCAGAAGAAGCAGGGCAGACTGCCAGCGGCGACGTGCTGCTCTAGCCAGTCGAGTATCGTCCACACGCCGTCCACCACGCCCGTCCAGCTGTCGGCGGGCCGGTCCTGTGCCAGCCACAGAGCCGCCGTCTTGATGTAGTAGGACTTGAGCGCCGGGCTGGCCCCGCTCTCCTTCAGCGCCGTTTTGATTCTCTTCACAGAGAGCACGGCGTTCCGCTGGATGTCGGTGAGCTGGTGGATGGCCACCACCTCAGCGCGGGAGAAGGAGAGGCGCCACTCGTACAGCACTGTGTCGCTGCCGTCCCGGCCGGTGGGCACCAGGTGCACGCCGAACTGGCAGAGCTCCTGACGCGCCGCCGCCGCCGGGAACTCGGTCACTCGGCGGCGCGAGAGGAACGCCTCCCTCCCCGGCCACACGGGCAGCCTGAGGCAGGGAACGTGGTCGAGTCCGCCGTGCCCCTGGCTCGGCAGGCACACGTTGACCGCCGGCCCCGGGGTGGTGATCACAGAGCCAGCCGAGCTCGTGGCGCGGCAGAACTCGGACATCAGTCGGCGCACCTCTAGGGCGGGGAGCGCCGGCAGCACAGCCTCGTGCTCACACTCGGTCGTGCGCGCCCAGTGCAGTGTGACGAAGCCCGGACTGTCGGTGGGCCGGGCCCACAGCTGCGGTGCGTCCCGCGCGCTGATACAGCCCGGCTCCTCGCCCGGCGCTGCTAGCGGTGCCTCCATCCAGCGGAACTCCCCACTGAGCTCAAACATGGCGTCGTAATCGGATGAGCTCGGCCGGCCGGCGAGCAGGTCGGCCAGCCCCTCGGCGCTGCTGCCCGAGCGGCTGCTGCCGATCACCCTCAGTGGTTCGGCTGGCGCGCAGCGGCCGCAGTGGCCCGGTGGTGGGGGCATGGCGGCGCTGCGGCCGTCCTGCAGAGCGCCCCAGAGCGGCAGGTCACGCAGGAACGCCAGCCTGTCGCCGACGGCGTTCCGTGCCAGGTCGGCCACGAGGCCGGCCGGATGGACCGGCGTCTCATAGAGCGGAAGCAGGGAGTCGACGAGCAGCCGCGCGCCGGAGTCGCCACAGCGGGTCAGCAGGCGGCGTACCCGCCACCGGGCGGCCGCGCCCTCGTACCTCCGCCGCAGCCACTCCATCCTGCCGCCCAGAGGCGCCAGCAGAGAGCGTCTTACCTCCAACTGCGGCGCATCCTGGGCACCAATACGGCCCGGTTAATCTCCCGGCCGACACGGTCGCAAACGGAAATCCATCCCGGTGTGCGGATCGGCTGTAGCCAGCAGTGACTCCTGCATCCACTAGGCTTAGCACTCGGACAGTCAACCTGCAAACAGCCACCTATCTCTGGACTGCAACGTCCCCGCCCGGTCTGGCTCGGGCCCGCCTGTCGGTGGGTGGCCGACCTCTGATCTGAGCCGATAACCGTATCAGCGGCGGCGCGATAGGGTCGGCTCGGACGGACCGGGCGGGCGGGCGGGCGCCGCACTGACTCCTGCCCCGTCCGGTCCGCCGCACTCTCCGTCACCCCGTCACCCCGTGACCCTCCGTGACCCCTCCGTGACCGTCACAATGACCCGCACCAGTGACGGAATCAGCTCGCTGCTGGCGGCCGAGAAGAAGGCTGTGGAGAAGATCGAAGATGCCAAGAAGAACAAGGTGCGCCGGCTGAAGGCGGCCAAGGAGCAGGCCGACAGGGAGATCGAGGGACTCCAGAGGTGAGAAAGGGGGAAAGAGGGGTGAAGGTTTGAAAAAAACGATGTTGCATTGAATGTTTGATACAGGAGTCTAAATTCTGGAGTGCTTAAAACGGTCAACGAAAGCTAGTTAGGCTATTGCTGTAGCGTTCATAGTTCGCATCGGTGTATCCGGATAGGCATTAATTATGTGGATGGATGACTTTTATATCCGATTCATTTCTGTGAGAAGCACATCTTCGGTGGTAGACGTAAGTTACCCACCTCAGAAGAAATTTTAAGTCGTCGTCAGACGACAGTCAGACGGCAGGTCGTCAGAAGGAATTTTAAGAAATGTTTTTTTTTTGCTTAACTAATTAAAATGTAAATATATCATCATCCATATTCGGAATATTTTCCTATGGACACATTTTACAGCACAATTAATTTCTAATAAGGCTGGTGGTCAACAAAAAGTCGTCCGTCCGTCTTATCGGCCGTTTCACGTGAGCTCAGAGTGTCGAGAGCGCCATCTGGGTCACATGACGACGAGGCGCTATCAGCACTCACGAGGGCGCCGGCTCGGCTCCGTGCAGTTCTGTCGGCCCTCGATATTACATTTTTACACAAAGGATGATACCTAAATGGATCATACTTTTGGCAGGTTTAGCGATATGGCTCATTTAGCAATAAGATAAGTAACTGTAAATGACAAAACAGTCGGTTGGTTTATCTAATAAACGTCTAATTTAACGTCTATGGAGGAAAACTTGCCTTATAAAAATAATTATATCGTTAATTGCAATTTCCTTTCCATGCAGCTCTCTAACCGTTTTTCATATTCAAGATGTACCTTCTCTGCACCATATCTAATCACCCTCTGTTCTGGACTGATCGGTCACCGGTAACAAATCGGAGAACCTTTAACTCCCACAGAAGTTATCTCCCCGACTCCCGCCGGGGTGACGGTCAGCGCTGCTCGGTGGCCTTTCCTCCGAGACCTTTCCGAGACCTTTCGTGCTCCGAGACGGGTTCAGCACCGCGGCACACCAGATGGTGGCCGCCCTAGCCCAAATGCAAGCCCCTCTTATCGCATAGCCTCTTATCGTATCATATGGTCGTGCAGTTGTATTAGTAGTTCGAAAGGGATGGGGTTATCGAAACAAACTTTTAGACGTCAAATAATTAAATCAAACCCGCTCATGGCGGGATGAAGACTGGTCAGTGATCATGCATCCCCTTGGCATTACGGAGAGCGGTACTGACCACCATTCGACCCCTCCGTGCCTACTTAGTAGGTACAGGGAGCAGCTGAGCCCCCATCCTCGTAGTATTACCTGCAGTGAACAGCTTGCTGAGGCTGACCTATCCGTCCCTCTGTTTCCTATCGCAGGGAGCAGGAGGCCGAGTTCCGTAAGGTGCAGTCGGCTCACTCGGGAACAGTTCTGACCTATCCGTCCCTCTGTTTCGTATCGCAGGGAGCAGGAGGCCGAGTTCCGTAAGGTGCAGTCGGCTCACTCGGGAACAGTTCTGACCTATCCGTCCCTCTGTTTCCTACTACAGGGAGCAGGAGGCCGAGTTCCGTAAGGTGCAGTCGGCTCACTCGGGAACAGTTCTGACCTATCCGTCCCTCTGTTTCCTACTACAGGGAGCAGGAGGCCGAGTTCCGTAAGGTGCAGTCGGCTCACTCGGGAACAGTTCTGACCTATCCGTCCCTCTGTTTCCTATCGCAGGGAGCAGGAGGCCGAGTTCCGTAAGGTGCAGTCGGCTCACTCGGGAACAGTTCTGACCTATCCGTCCCTCTGTTTCCTACTACAGGGAGCAGGAGGCCGAGTTCCGTAAGGTGCAGTCGGCTCACTCGGGAACAGTTCTGACCTATCCGTCCCTCTGTTTCCTACTACAGGGAGCAGGAGGCCGAGTTCCGTAAGGTGCAGTCGGCTCACTCGGGAACAGTTCTGACCTATCCGTCCCTCTGTTTCCTACTACAGGGAGCAGGAGGCCGAGTTCCGTAAGGTGCAGTCGGCTCACTCGGGAACAGTTCTGACCTATCCGTCCCTCTGTTTCCTACCACAGGGAGCAGGAGGCCGAGTTCCGTAAGGTGCAGTCGGCTCACTCGGGAACAGTTCTGACCTATCCGTCCCTCTGTTTCCTACTACAGGGAGCAGGAGGCCGAGTTCCGTAAGGTGCAGTCGGCTCACTCGGGAACAGTTCTGACCTATCCGTCCCTCTGTTTCCTACCACAGGGAGCAGGAGGCCGAGTTCCGTAAGGTGCAGTCGGCTCACTCGGGCAGCAAGGACGCCATGGTGCAGCGGGTGGACGGCGAGACGGAGGCGCGGCTCAAGTCCATGGAGAGCGACGTGGCCACGCATCGGGAGCAGATCATCGCCCGCATCCTCAGCATGGTCTACGAGATCACGCCCAAGATGCACGAGAACGCGCGGTTCGAGCAGCAGGAGCAGCCGGCGCCGCCCAAACATGTCCAGTACGGACACCAGGAGGAGGAGCCCGAGGACCAGGAGGAGGATCAGGAGGAGGAGGAGTGAGGAGCGGCAGGAGAGGGCCGCCCGCAGACCCCGGGTCGGTCTGCAGAGGGGGATATCAGCAGGTGTGTCTGCTCAATGGCGTGGTCTGGTGTAACCCGAGTGGTATAAAGAAATGGAAAGGCTTCAGCGGGCTTGCTCCGTGCTCAAATGTTGATAAAAGACCTGAGCTACTGCGTGTGTGGCGAGGAATCATATCGCGTGTGGCAGAAAACTCGATCGCACCCGACGGCCGGTGCTATGATGCTGCTCTGTTCCGTGTCCTGATTATGCGAATTTCATGTCAGAAGGTAGGAGTGCCGCTAGAATGTAAGAGCGCTTACTCGGCATTTTATTGATATTAGATAGTAGATAGCTAATAGGTTTGTCCGAATGTTGTAAATATTGACGGCAATAATATATCACGGGATGAACGTATAAACGATACAGGTCTTATCACCTTTCAACACTTGTCTCTAAGCATGAATAGTAAGAAGTCGCGGGTTCCTGGGGCGTTTCCTTGGATAGGTGGTGTGACATCTCCACACGCCCCCCTGCTATCCGATATCCGGTGGGAGACTGGCACCTGGCTCCGTCCGGGGCCGCCGATAGGTGTGAGCCCGGCCACGGGCGGCCCAGACCGGTCTCTGTTCCCTCTGGTCGGCCGCCAGCGTCTGTCTGCGCTCCGTCGGTGCTGCGGAGAAACATCCTATACCGAGGAGAGAGATCAGCGGCGCTATGCGGGCCGTCACCGTCTGCGCCCTGCTCGGAGCGCTGGCCGCCCAGGTAACCAACGGCAGTGACACGCCTCCAGCTTAGCCAACCGAGTAACAGCAATGGACCACACTCGCTGTGTAGCAGTTATGGTCCACTCTTAAAGGGTATCAGCAATGAACGATTCTCGCTAAACGAGTAATGGTATACCTAAATGGACTACTACATATAAGGCACTTCCCTTTTCACTAACGGAGTAATAGCAAGGCACGACTTTCGCTAACAAACTGACGGTAGGTATGTACCTAATTAATAGTTCACTTTTGCAAGCGGAGTTGTTGTAATGGACTTCTATCGCCGTTCACTAACGAGCAAAGGGTAATGCTAAACAGCAAACTAACGCTGATGGTAAACTGATGGTAAAAAACTCTAGTTAGCCCGCGCCCTGCGAGAAGGGGGTGTTTGAACACCCCCTGCAGTTTTTCGCGAATATCTTAAAAAAGGGCGGCGCTCCATACATCTATTCCGCGTATGGTGTGAAATTTTCAGACCAAGGTCAATAAGGGTCACGTCGCCAGGTCACTTCAAGTGGCCTAATCTCATAACTAAAGTTTCAATGTCTGTCATAGCTACACTGAGTGACTGATCGCTTTGAATCTTTCAGCGATCGATAAGTGCTACAGTGTGTACAAATGTTTATCTCGGAATTTGAATACCTATCGATGACCTAAGGTCAGGCAAAGAGTAAAGACCTCTGTATAGACCTATGGGTCAGGTCAATTTTGCAACTTCCCCATTATAAGTCAATGGGAGAAAATTGAAAGGCGCCCCTTTTAGACGAACGTCATTCTTAACACGCTAAGACATAGAACATGAAAATGGTACCCGTGACCCCTGCCCCTGAGGTCATCTCAGTTCACGAATGGTAGGTATCTAACAGTTTTTCTCGAGTGCCTAACGTTTGATAGAGGTATGCTAGAGCGCTTCAGATGTGTTCAGCTCGACGATACGGATCGACTGATATTTATTCTTTCCGGTTAGGTCATGACCTTGATCTGAGGCTAAATTTTCAAGTTAACATTTCAAGGTCAAATTATAGTTCATTCGCTGCGTCTTGACGGGAGGAACACGATGCCGGTAAAACTTAGCAAGCTCGTGCAAGGTTTGAGTCAAAAGTTATTGCAGAAAAGCTGTTTCCGCAAAAATCGTCTATTTTGGTAGTTTTTGCCCCCTGGAGGCAAAACCGTTGACGCTATGTCAAATCTGAGGAAAGTTGTCATAAAGAGATTAAATAGAGCTATCGAATGCACTTTGCTGGAGCGCTGTAGTTCCATCACTTTTCGAGTTATGTGTCGGTTAAGGTTTGTTGAAAGTTGTCGATATTTGACCTGAACATCGGCGAAATGTGGCTCTCAATGACCTCTGGTGAGATGACCTTTGACCTGACCAATTAAGTGACCGAAATAATTTTGTCATAATTTTTACGCTCTTTCGAACATCGCCTTCCCCGTATCGCTACGTGTCCCCGGAGGCGAGTTAGAGGGTGTGTGTTTTCACCCCCCTCCCCCCCAGCAGGGCGTGGAAATCTAGGACCCCAGTGGGGCGCGGGTTAACGAATCGGCATAAATATACCAGCTTTCGGTCAGCGAATAATAACAATGATCCACTCTCGCTGACGGGAAAGGTAATATCTCACTCTCGCCAGCGGGGCAGGAGGGAGCAGTCTGCCCGCTGGGACATAAAATCAATATTTCAATTGGCGATAACACACATACACCCGAGGACAGACTGTATCGATTGGCTCGAAGGACCGTTTACGGGGCGGAATGAACGAAACTTATCCGGGAGTAGTGCCAGATACGAGTGCTCATGTAACAGATAGGGCGTGGAAACCCTATGACCCTATAAAGGGTCTGTATGCACTATGCGTTTAAAAACCTATTATTTTGTAGTTTCATGAAAATACATCCAGTGATAGCCACTATTTACCAGCTTTACCTATAGGGGTTTCAAGAGCTAATATAGACGATTAGGATGGTCGATGGAATGCTATTGCTAAACGCCTCTCCCCTCACAGACGCAAGTCGCACACACACGCACCTTAGCAGGTCTCCCCTCTGGGGAGGGTCGGTCGGGGGGGGGGGGTGCACCTGTCTGAGCAGGGCTGAGTCAGCCGTGTCGGTAGCGGCGGGGCGCCGGTCGCTCGGGGCGGTGGGCGGTGCCACAGTTCCTCCGGCACGCCGAGCTGCCGCAGAGCGTACCGTGCGGGCCCGCCCGCCCCCGAGCAGCACAGTGAGGTTCCGTGGTTACCGCCTGTATATTCTGTGGTTACCGCCGCAACCATGCAGAAGATACGGCGCCTGGTGCGCAGCCTGTCCCAGTCGGTAAGATTGTCGAAGTCTGGCTTCCGGGACATCATCTCAGGAGCTTTCAGCACCGTCAGTAACTTTCAATGGACTTTCAAAGCTGGGCAGCATAAACAATGCGACGATTGGTCAGAATCGGGCGACGGGAGAGAGAGAGAGAGAGAGAGAGAGAGAGAGAGAGAGAGAGAGAGAGAGAGAGAGAGAGAGAGAGAGAGGGAGAGAGAGAGAGAGAAAGCGAGAGAGGGAGAGAGAGAGAGAGAAAGCGAGAGAGAGAGAGAGGGAGAGAGAGAGAGAGAGGGAGAGAGAGAGAGAGAGAGAGAGAGAGAGAGAGAGAGAGAGAGAGAGAGAGAGAGAGAGAGAGAGAGAGAGAGAGAGAGAGAGAGAGAGAGAGAGAGAGAGAGAGAGAGAGAGAGAATGCTCTCGGAACTGACTTTTTTCTCGTAATTTCAGAAAACGTATGACGTAGTAAACTATAAACGCAGACATTTTGCATAAACTTGGAAGGCAAATGACTGTGGAACTTTGTCAACCATAGTATTAGTACCTAACATGTTGGACGAGGCCTCGCCGTCATCAGTCGCTCTCCCGTCACAAAGGCACAGCTGTGCGGTATCTCACAAGATTAGGGACACCACACACCAGACACGTGTGACGGTTTCACGCGCTGTGCGGGAAGCTCAAACACACATTGCTTATTGCGATGCTGGGGAATTCAGCAAATGTCATGCCTACTTTTGAGGAAAATGGCAACATTACTGACATTTTTGGCAGGGTTTAAAATGTTCGAACATATTGAATAGACAAATTGACGCAGCCAGAGGCGCCAGAGCTAGCAGCCAGCGTCATGCAAAGCTCGTTGCGCTAATCACGAGCATCACCTTACACCTACAACACGATCGATGAGTTCGGGTCGTAGGAGACGGAAAAATGAGACACCAGTAAGGGCTGACCACAGAGCTGGACAACCGACCCCCGTGTTGTGCCATCCCTAGAGCTCCTTTGTAGAGTCTCGTCACTAGGCCCGGTGTGTTCGGTGCTCTGACCACGTGTGTGTTCTGTGTTCTGACCACGGGTGTGCTCCACGGTCTGCAGAGCTCCACGATGGAGTCTGGCCGGCGGCGGGCCGACTCGGCGCCGGCCGAGGATCTCACCTGGTACCAGTACTACGCTCCCAGCGGCCAGCCCGCCGAGGGACTGGTGGCACAGGGAGACTACTTCACACTCAACGGACAGCAGTTCCAGGTCAGCCGGCCCCCACTCGCTACACCGTGGCACATCCAACAGCCCACACCATAAAGCTGAGCGAACCGATCAAACAGATCGGCCTTTTTATTTGGTTTCCCAATACATAGCTTACTTGTGTGTGGTTGAACTGAACCGGTTCGCTCTCATGTCTGTCTAGCATTCTCGATGATTCGATTTATCTTCTGCGGTAGGCAGCCTAGCCCTCTCGCTGTTCTGCGCTCTCATTTTCCGGCCGCCTGCTGGGTAGGCTGTACCGCCGTGCTCCTGTGTACTGCGGCACAGTATACCTACCCAGTACCGACCGTCCAGACATGCAGCGGAGATAACACGCATCTTACACGGCTTACGTCTTACCACATGAATGCTGAGTCTCGGCCACCGCTTAGCTGATATAAGACTTCTGATCACTATTTACTATCACCACATAATACCAGCAGGCCCCTGATCCCATTGTTCTGGCGGTCTCTGTCAGATTTTCAGCGGCGCCGTGCACTATTTCCGGATCCATCCGGCGTACTGGCGCACCACGCTGCGCAAACTGCGAGCCGCCGGACTCAACACGGTCGAGACGTACGTCGCCTGGAACCTGCACGAGCCGCGAGTCGACGTGTATGACTTTGGAGACGGAGGGAACGACATGTCCGACTTCCTCGACCTGCCAGGTCAGTCGCCAGTCGGTGTATAATTTTAAACGCTCAGGCGAGACTCGAATGAACTTATCGACATCATGCTTCATAAGACAGTTTGCATCGCGGTACTGGTATTTGTATGCAAATTGACGCCCTTTGGCGACAAAAAAAAAAACTGCACGTAGCACTTAGCAGCTGAAGTTCCCACTAAGTGAGCGTACTGTAAACGGCATTTAAGGCTTCACAGCTGCCGTGCCGTGCCGGTTGCAGTTTAAAAACGACACGCATTTCATAACTGCCATCCTTCCTACGACGCCAATGTGTTTTCGATTTGCAGGAGACAGCTGCTTGGTTTCGCAAGTGACGACCTTCACGTGTGAACGCGTACCGCTTTACACCTCGCAGGAAACGATATACGGCCTCCATTTGCCGAGCATAGTGAATTACGCATCGGTTGGGGTAGCGCCCAAAGGTCCAGGTGGTGTGTAGACACGTCCCTTATGCCTATATCACAGCTTGCCTGGCACGTTCCAGGTTTCCTAAGGATCGCCCAGGAGGAGGATCTGTTTGTGATTCTCCGGCCAGGGCCGTACATCTGTGGCGAGTGGGAGTTCGGCGCACTGCCCAGGTAAGAATATTTCGGCCTCACATCAGTTCGACGCACTGCCAGGTAAGAATATTTCGGCCTCGCATCAGATCGGCGCACTACCTAGGTAAGAATATTTCGGCCTCGCATCAGTTCGGCGCACTGCCTAGGTAAGAATATTTCGGCCTCGCATCAGTTCGGCGCACTACCTAGGTAAGAATATTTCGGTCTCACACATAGGTGGAGCTTTTTCAGGGAAGTTGGTGGGGCAAAAAGTCGTCAAACCCACAATGTCCGATTATAAAGTTGAATGAAATGCCACACTGAATCAATTCCTATCATTAAAGACATATCATTTTGCATTAAACAGACATTCCAAAGCTCTTCAATGCGAAGAAGATTAATTTGCAAAGCAACAAAGTCTTAGAAATCAGCTAAAGTTGGTGGGGCAAAACGCTTATTGGTGGGGCAAAATACAAAGTTGGTGGGGCAGCCACCCCACCAACTGTATAGGAAGCTCCGCCCCTGGCCTCGCATCAGTTCGGCGCACTGCCGCAGGTAAGTATCGAACATACCGGCCTCACATCAGTTCGGCGGTCTGCTGTGGTAGGTAAGAAAATATGGACAGAACATAGCACCCATATGCCAGTATGGTTGCAAACCGCCGGGGTAAACACAGATGAACCGAACATATTAGCCCTGGCTTATATTAGCGAAGTGTATAGTCGACTACAGAATGATGTTCCACTCCTCAGAAGCTATCAGTTGACCAGAGCGCCAAGTTGTGCCGTTTATCACGCAATTAAGCATGTCGATTGTGAGCATTGGGACTAAGCTATAATTTGTGAATTCAGCCCGTGTGATGCGGCACAGCCTACCAATCCAGGCAAATAATTGCCTGTAAAAAGTGGAACATCATTCTGCAGTCGACTATACATACCTATCATTGTAATAATAAAAGAAAAACGAGTGCACCACAGACATTAATGTTCTCTGCTGCCTCAAGGGCCATCCGAGACATCCTAAACGTAACAACTAATTGGCGCCAAACTCACTGAAGTATTGAGTGATGTATAGACAATTAGATATATATTGAGTAGGAAAAACATACAGCACATGGGTGGACGCGTTTCGTCAGAGACTTTTCCAACACCCGAATATCGACAAAACAATACGAACACACAAGAACAAAGCTAGCAAGCACAGTTTCATACCTGTTGATATATCGCGTGTACATATTATGAGAATGTGCCTAAATGCAAATACACCTCCAATACTGCGCGTCAGTTAATTGGCAAAGAAAGAGAGAACACATACATATATAAGACAATTCAATGGTTTACTCCGTCGTTTAGCCGGCCGTGCCTTTACCCTGTGCCGTACGCGTGTCCAGCCCGCAGTAACCTGCTGTACCTATAGCCCGCCGTTTAGCCGCTGTGCCTGCGTCTGTCACGGCCGTGTGTGCCGCCCGCAGTTACCTGCTGCGCCAGTACGGTATTCATGTCCGCTCAGTGGACAATTACTACCTGGGGCGCTTCGACAAGTGTTTGGTCAGCTGCTGCCGCAGGTCACTGACCTTCAGTTCACCAAAGGAGGACCCATCATCGCAGTCCAGGTAACATTCGGGTG